GTGCGAGACGTGGCACGACTAGGGGAGAGTCGACGTCGGTCGAGCAGGCACTGTGCCGCGTTACGCTCTCAGGTAGGCCACTCCTGCGAGTGTTGTGCTGTTGTTGCAAGCGCCTACGATGCTCTTCCCAAGCTGCCCTCGCAGCCTCCAATGCCACATCGGCGGCCAGACTCTTGTCGCCCATTGCTTCTCCCCCCTCTTCGTTGACGGCCGAAGGCTCTGAGACGCCGCTCTGGCCAGCCCGGTTGCTGGGGGGGTTCTTGGGGGATTGTCCACCTGTAATTGCTGAAATCGGGCGGTTCGCTTCAAAACACCGCCTCTTGGGTGGTTTGCCGAAGAGGCACAGAATGTCTTCGTGGCGGAGGCGACAGATGCGTGGGCTCTGGAGCGCACCCTCAGGCCCCCCCCGTCTTTTGTGGCCAGCCCCTAGGCAGAGCGACCCCGTGACTGCCGCCGTGCTTGTCCCCCCTTTGCCCCCGATGGCCTCCGTCGTGCCGTTGTTTGCGCCGTCTCCCGCCCAGACCCCGGGGTCCCCGGGGCCTGGGTCGTCTTCCATGATAGCGTTTCAGGTGGTACCTGGTGGTTTCTGCGGCGATTCCGCCCTGCTGAGGCGAGATCGCGCTGCCTGGTGGCGTCGAGGCGCTGCTAAGGGGCGATTTTGCGATGCCTAAGGCGTCTGGCGCTGCTGAGGCGAGATCGCGCTGCCTGGTGGCGTCGAGGCGCTGCTAAGGGGCGATTTCGCGCTGCCTAAGGCGTCTGGCGCTGCCTGCCTGAACTCCTATGATTGGTGAAATTGAGTGGAAATAACGTAAGGATCTTCAGAACATGTCCTCCAACTGATCATTACTGCAGTACGCTGAACCAGCTCTAAATGATTCACACAGTGAAGCTTCAGGGAGCATTTCCACACGTGTGTACTGTTCCATGTGGAAGTTCTTTTAATCACCGCTTTCAACCGATAAGTTAGTTGGCACTACTTTTGCTGGCTGTCGGGAACTGTAGGGTCCATGTCGTGGAAATTTTCCAGCCTTTGGAAGTTTCTATGCCTCTCGCGTTCTAGTTCCATTGGGCAGTACACCTAGCCCTCGCCAATTTCACGCCCAGTCAGTTCTTCCTTAAAGCCAAACTGACCATTTTTGGCTATAGAGATCAGACACCCACGAACTTGAGACTATCCGAGGCATTGTAGAGTTTCGATGTTGCCCCGTCTGACGTTGAGCCCGCCACGCAAAGACTGAATCTTTCACTGCGACAATCTTCATTTGTTTCCCGCTGACTCATTTACGCAGTGTTGCTCTACTTAAACCCAAATTGCTTGAAACAACCCTCAATTTCGGGTAATTGAAAATCGAATACACAGGGGTGTGAAATTGCCCATACTGAAGTTGGCGAGGACTATGTGTAAATCCAAGACGGGAACAGTAAATAATATACAGTATTTTTCTTCAAGATCCGATCTAAAGAAACACGGGGGAAAGGGGGAAGAAAAGCCTCTCACGTCACGTCGTTGTTTTCTAGTCCAAGGGAGCAACAGAAGAACCGTGAGGAAGCGCGTCCGTGTGCTGCAACTCTACGTTGCAGATTTTCCCTACGAAAAATATGCATTCTAGTTCTCCAGACGAGTGACTAAAACACCAGGGGCAAGTTTTCCAATAACCTTCATTATTGAAATCCTAGAATCCAGACCGCACTTAGGCATCGCGAATAACCTGCCCAGGTACTAACGGTTAGAAAAAATAAAAGCCCCTCACTTGCATCTCAAAGCATCACTGTAGCTGGGGGTGCTCTCAAACATCCGCTGCCTTTGTCGTTGTGTTAGGTGCGCTACTCGACGAAAACGTTCATACTGTACAACCAACAAAGGTCCACTACACCTGATGCCTGTTTGAGCCCCTCCCGGTTGCCTTATGAAGGGGGCGTATAAGCTGTAATGAGCATTTCGCATAAGTTTCGTCAATTCGCAGCTAGCTAAAAAGGATTCGCATGTGCTTATATCAAAGATCTGTAACCTTATCCAATGACAACTTGACATCAGTGTCTTCGGTCTGTTCGTTAATATTGGTTGATAACCACGCGACGCGCTTGTAGCGTGGAAGCAACAGGCTGGGGAAACATCCTCGGGTGCAGCGTTTCCGTCCGGCGCAAGGCAAATTCGCGTGCACTGGTTGGGCATCATGTGTATAACCTCAATACGGACACAAAATGTTTCAATCAAGCACAAGTCAGCCACATCTGCTACGACTTGGGTGGTATCATCCACCTAAGACATTAAGCACAAGTTATGCGCATGCGCAGAAAAAAAGTATTTTAATTTTCATTAATTCCATCTATAATAGAAGAAATGTACATGAAGTAATTACTGTAGTATATTTTGCTAATTGCAAATTTAAATGACTATATTAAAGCTTTTCATACAATTGTTTTGAAGTAAGTACTATAGCATATCCATTCCATTGTACATTTAGATTGATCAAATTATTTCATGGAACACTTCCCATACAGTTGTTTTCTAACAAATAAGGCCTATATGTTTCAGTATATTTTGACTTAAAGCACATACATTCTTATAGATTCCTACGCATAAAAATTTCTTTCAAATATGCAAAGTAAATCGTAGAACTTGATAATTTATTGTGAAATAAAAAAATATTTAATATAACCTCATCCATATCTTGAGCATTATTGAGTCACAAAAATAGTTGTGTATTGCAAAATTATCATGCTTAAATAGTTATTATTGTGAATGATATTTTGTTATGGGAATCGTACAAACCAGAAATTCATACAATATGCATAACACTAAATGTTTATCGAGGATGATAATCTTAAGGGGATTATTTACTAAGGCAGCAAGAGAGATGTAAAACTGGCCTGAAGGGGTGATCAAAGTGCCGCAAATTTCCGACGTCGAGGTCGTTAGGCGAGGTAGTTGAGCTGAGGGGTGCCATTTTTGTGATAACGTGACCACAAGAGACAGCAGAACGGTTCGACGAGAATTGAATTCTCGAATGTGACGAAGCTGTAGAATTCGCCTGTGTTTTTTTCGCAGCCAATAGACGTACTGTGACGTACGTTTCCCGAAATTCGTCTGAATTCAATTGTTCAACTGTTTAGGCCGGCATTTGTCTTGTGTGAAAGTTCGTCGCCGTCATTTTTTTTTTTGGTAGGTGAAAGTGCATTATACAACGTACAACGCAAAAACGCCGTCGGTCGTAACCGTAGCTAGAGGGCATAGGTAGCGTGAGTGTCTACCGTACCCTCCCAGATTCCTACGGAGGTCTAAAAGTCAAGTGCCTAAACACTTTGTCTTGCCCGTTTGGGGCTACCTTTGCAGAGTTGCCACCCTTGAGATCAGGTAGAAAATTGTTGATGTTTTCTTGCCTTCTACGTTGCTTCAACATTGGTTGGGACTTGACCTGTCGAGCGTGATGAGGCTTGGTTGGAGCCAATCTTGCCTTGTTTTGGGTGCGGTGTAGAGTGGTTTCCGCTGCAACAGTGCTTGGCTGAACTCGGAGTTGCTGGTAGATTGATCTGGTTGTACCAAACTTCTTCTGACGCCGACTTCGAATGAAAATTGCAGCAGCTGCTGCACCCGCTCTGGCCACCATACCACAACTTTTTGAACGGTGGAGAGCGGTGACAGCCGCACATGCCTTCTGATGTACCCACAACCTTCTCTTGAATTTCCTGTCAGACGCTGCTCCAAATGACTTCGGGAAAAAAGCACTAGGTACCGCTCTGTCACTGCCTTGAAACTTCCTTGATAGATCCATTTCACGATCAGATTCTATGGCGTCACGCCATAGATCAGTGTCATCAACAGTTAAAAAGACTTCTTGAGGGTTTTCAGCTATAGGATCTGCCATGTTGATCAATCCACCTTTAATCATGTCTGCAACAACAACCTCCCCTTCCTTCCAGCCATTGTGATCCAACTTGTAAGCCGCAGTTCTATCAGTTGTTGTAGCCGCGTTGAAAATGGGTAGATCTTCGCAGTCTGAAATTGCAAACGCTGTTGTATTCTTCAAACACAACTCTGATCCGGGAGAGAAAGGACTCTCCGTAGTAAACCGCCATGACGAGTAGAGAGCTCATTGTGATCAAAGTGACGAGTAGGATTTCGCCGTCATTGTGATCAAAGTGCCACTTTCGACGTCGATCGGCGTCGAGCTCGACGTCTGCTGACGTCTGGCCTCCGACGTCGCAGTTCACTCAAAAATACTTTGATCACCCCTTGACACGATTTCTGGTTTATCTCAGCTCATATGTCAATGGCTACATGGGAAATTAGCACCAAGCGTGCCCATTATTAAGCTTTGTTACAGGACAACTCCAACAATACAGCACGACGCGGAATTTTCCCTGTGCATTTTGAAACGTGAAATTCAGTATTGAGAGACTGCTACAGAAAATGAGTGTAACGAGAAAGAAGATCGATCTGGCCGTACACTACAGTGGAGGTACCAAGCTGGTGTGGGTGATACGGGAGCGCTAGACTACAGTGCAAAGCAGCCTATTCAATCATATCAGAATAGAACGCGGAGAATTTTCCAGTTCGGATCAAACTTATACTGTACACTGTGATGTCGGGAATACGTCCGAGATCAACTGGTGGATTCCGTGTTCCGCTCAAGGCCGTTCTTGTGAAACAACCCCAAACTCCTGGCAGGTTCGGTCGGTTGAAAGCTGAGCGAAAATGTTGAGTCTGGAGGGCCTTCTGAACTTGGTTGAAAATGGAAGCACACGTCTGTTTGCCTTTGCAGGGTGGTGGGTTGGTCCCGAAAGTTCTAAAATTCTTGCAAAATGTTGAAGGTGGTGATAAGCGGTAAAGAGTGGTGATGAGAGGTAGCCGCTCTGGACAGCACAAGGCCTGAAGGTCCAAACAGCTAATCAAACATTCAAAAAGGGGCCACAATTACAATGTCCCCTGTATGCGTAAAATATTAGAATGTTTGTTGCGAAATCTCCGCTTGTACAGCCCCCCGAAGCTCACAAAGGCAATGGCCCTGTTCTACACGCCAATCTGTATTGGCTGGTGTGAGAAAAACACGCTAGATCCTTTCCGGAATCTATTTCAACAACGAAGGCAGATCGTCATGAGTGTTACGGTGCACGCTCCATCCAAACAAAACCAGAAAAAGGTGAGCTGTCGCTTGGACCACCGCGCAAACCCGGGCTAATTCGTACACCATCACCCTCTCCTCCCCTCGTCTCTCTTGCGTTCAACCATCAATCATCAGCTTTCATTTCTATCCCCACATTGCTGCACGAGTTTATTCTAGTTCTAACCAAGCCGCGGTGTTTCATAATCCCATTCTGTCAACTTTTCTGCACTCTTCTTTTCTCTAGTTGTTTCATTCCAGGTCAAGCCGTCCTACCCTAGGTTAGTTCGCATATCCTCTTGACTCGGAATAATAGTAGAGTTCTTCGCAACAAATATTGTTAGAAACGCATCTGAATCAAGCAGAAGCGTGGACCCGCAATGGCCACCCCGTCCGGTAACATTCTGCCGTTAATAGCTGACGGCACCGTCAAAGCCTTGTGGCATGATATCCTCCTCTTTCCGCCTCCCCCCTCTTCCTCCGCCGCCTCCCCCACCTCCGCCGACGCGGCATCGTACGGTGACGTCATCCCCTCTTACACCTCATCCTACTCCACCACCCCGCCGCCGCCCGACAACCTCTGCTTTTTCGTCTGCACCCGCACGCGCTCCGCGGAACCCGGTGCGGGCGGCGGCGGCGGCGCGGGGAAGGCTAGCAATTCCGCCTTCCGCGTGCGGCGGCGGCGGCTGCTGCTGAGCGGCGCGACGGAGTTTGACGAGGACGAGAACGTGCCGTGGAACATGGGCATACTCCCGCAGACCTGCGTGCTCGCTTGCGGCGCCGTCGCCGACGCCGCGAATGACGGCGGCTCGCCAGGGAAAACCAGCAGACCGGCTCCGCAAAGCGCCATTGGCCCCGCAAGCGCGGGGAATGATTCCGGCGGCGGAAGCGCCGCGGGATCGTCGGACGGCTTCGCGTCGCTGTTCGATTACGCTCCGATACAGGCTATTGAGATAGGGTCTGCGCCGCGAGAAATCGGGGATACGTACGGCGTGATTCCGTTAGCGGCGCTGCCAGTGCAGAGACCTAATATGGGCGGCTCGGAGGTTTCTTACAGGCTGATTGTGATTGCGGCGGATGACCCGTTAATGATTCCGGAGGCGAGTGGTTATAACGGGTTTGGAGTCGCGACGATCGGGGAGGGCCAGATTGCGGAGAGGGAGGAGTTGCAAGAGGAGGTGGAGCGGTGGGCCGTCAGAAGCGGCTTCTCTAACCGAGTCGACGGTAAGTTCGCTACGCGGCGCGTATGTATCCGCGCTTGGAATCTTCTGTCTTCGCTTTTCCCCGCTTCCCCTTCCCCACCCACGCAACCCTAGTTCCCCCTTCTTTTTGGACATAGACTCATATGTACGCCTCCCTAACCCCCACGTCAGATTGGGACCTTCAGGAAGATAAGGACGCGGATACTGTCTTAATCGACGCGCATCGCGTCTGGAAGCTAGTCTTCCCCACCCTTCGCAAGCCGACGCGTCTCGCCCGTGGAGCGACCTTCCGCCGTCTCGATCCGCGAACGTCCTTCGCGCGGCCAGGGAGCCCCGCCACCGCGGCGCCACCTCGCGTGCTGGAGCTCGTCGCGAAGCCGGCGGAGACCTGCGTGATTTCCGCCGCGAAATCCGCGTCGTTTTCGCACAAATCCGCGCGAAAGTTCAACGCGAGCGAATTTAACCGAGCGAAAACCGTCGGGGGTGGCGAGCTTTACCGGACCGGTAGCTACGGCGACAGCTTCGGCAACGACAGCTTCGGCAGATTCGACAGCCCCAACAGCGGTGGTAGCGACGCCGACTTGCTGTCACCTGGAAGCGGTTTTGGCGGCGGCGAAAGCGGAAACCATAGTAGACGAGCCGCGGGGCTCCCTCCTGCATCTCCCCCGGTGCGACGCGTGCACAGCGTGGAGGCGTTTGAGGGAGAGGACGCGTCGCGGGGCTTAAGTAGGTCGGTAACTAAGTCGGCACTAGTCCGAAGCTCGACAGTCCTTTCGAAAAGCAAATCTTCACGGGGAATGAAAAAGAGCGTGAGCTTGAAAGCGGAGTTAAATGTTGGGGAAGATGGCGGTAGAAGCGGGGGGTCTTGGTTTCGGCGTGTAAGCAGTAAAGGGGGAGCGGTGCCACGAACGCAATCGACGAGTCTGGGTAATCGCGGATCGGACGGTTGCGATGACTCTGGGGGTGGCCGGTGGGGGAGGGGCGGCTCGGGAGGACGTGGTTCGGAAGGCGGAAAGGGGTTATTCACGCGCAGCCGCACTTCAGCACAGTTGGGGAGTGCGCGAGTGTTATCCAGGGGGGGAAGCGGAAACGAGCGCGATCTTCCGCCATACGCCCCCTTCACTCGTCGCCACACGCACACTAGCGACAGTCGCAGCAGCGCTTGCGAAAAGCCGGATGAGGATTTGTATTTCGTAGATCATGACGATGATGGGGCTGGGTTGGATTCGGCCAATCAGAAGGACGTTCTGAAGGCGCGTCAGCCGCAGCGCGCGGCGTGGATGAAAAAGGCCCTCAGCATGAAAGTGCCGAGCGCGCTTCACCATAAGCACACCCACGACAGTCACCATCAGAATGATAGCTACAGTCCCCAATCCATTGGTTCTTCCTACATGGGAAAAGATGAAGACCTGTACGGAGACTGTGGAGCTGAGGATAACGAGTTCCTCTATATCGACAGTCCTGTAGCTGCTACAGTACAGTGTTTCAAGGGAAGTAGAGGAAGCACTCCCAACCGCTCCCCCATTCGCTCCCCTATTAACTTCTCCGCTCGCTCGTTTCAAGCCGTGTCTATTCCCTCCAGTCGACGAGCTTCGCTAGACACACCACCAGAAGCGGGCTTGGAGAGGTTTCGGAACGCTCCACGGTCTCCTGTACTTGCAGCGGAGGAATCATCAGCTTATAACGAGGATAGATCAGGGAGGAGGCGAACGGTGGCATTCACAGATGAGAAAGCAGGCAGAATTGGCAGCAGCACCAGCAGCACCAGCGGCACCAGCAGCACCAGCGGCACAAGCAGCACCAGCGGCACCAGCAGCACAAGCAGCACCAGCGGCACAAGCAGCACCAGCGGCACAAGCAGCACCAGCGGTACAAGCAGCAACCCTAAGGCTCATGCTCTGCGCGACAACAAGTTGAGGGCCTCTAAAGAGGTCTTGCTCAAGAAGAAAATTCCAGCCCTGTAGCAGTCGACCAGCACCCAGTGCAGCGGCAGCAGCCAAAACAGCAACAGCGGCAGCGGCAGCAACAGGCATCCCAGTCATGGATTTGGTTCGACCAATGGGAGCAGGCCAGGTGTCGGAGATAAGGGGTGGACAAATGGGGCAGGGTACAGGAGCAGGAGGGTCCAGGGGCGTGGGGCTATGCACTTGTGCGTGCCTTTGCGCATCTGCATGTGCCTGTACGTTAATGGATGTGCACGTGTGTGTATGCATGTGCATGCATGTGTATGCACGTGCGTGTGCATATGCATGTGTGCTTGTGCATTTGCATGTGCATGTGCATGGAATTTCTGCTGTCTCCAGCCAGCTATGCACGAGAATTGGCAGACGGAATGGGGCTGCGAGGTAGAGGTGTGTATGTAGGATTGCGGTCCCAAACATCCTTTACTGTCTATTCTGGTGTGTGATGGAGCAATGTCAACAGCATCACCAGTAGCAGCAGCAACAGCAGCGGCAGCATGAGCATGAGCATGAGCATGAGCATCAGCATGAGCATGAGCATCAGCATCAGCACAAGCAGAAGCAGAAGCTGAGGGAGGAGGAAGAGTAGCTTGATGAGAGCATGGAGGGAGGTGGGGCAGCTGAAGATGTGGGTGTGGGGGGTGGGGTGCAGGATTGGATAAGAGCACGAGTGCAGAAGCACAGCAGCAGCAGCAGCAACTGACTTACCTGACTGATAAATTTCATTGTTTCTTGTCTGCATTTATTCGCGGCAGGGTGCTGCAGTGCGGACCATTGAACTCAGCTGTTCTCGAACTTGAGTACTGCGTGGTGGTGGGTCATGTTTTCTATTTGTTAACCTAGTGTGTAACCTAAACTCCGTTCCATGCGCATGTTTCAAATGCAATGCAATCAAGGAGCTTGGTCTTGGCTTCTTGCATGAACAGCTGGAAACTACTGTGATTCAATACCATAATTGGTGTGGATGCATCAATCCCTTGAAGAAAGTATTGATAAAAATCGAACAAGACTTTGACTGGCTGTTGGCACCATGTGTCATTGATGAATCACTGCGAGCCGTCGCCAAGCCAGCAGAGGTCATCCCTGGGCCCTACACTTGCTGCGTCAGCTGAGTCATTGCTGAGTCATTGCTGAGTCATTGTTGAGTCATCATGAGTCATGAATGAGGTTGAATGTGAATCTCGAGAGTTGAAGAGGAATGGCTGAGATGACTGGGCCGTAGCGCTGCGAGGGAATAGCAAGAGAGGAAGAGAGCAGAAGAAAAGAGGGATCAACATTTGCAGACGGTTTGGAAACAGCCGAAAGGGGAAGGGAAGAGGAATAGCGGAAAGACTGAAGGAGGGAAAGGGAAGAGAGATTGGAAGGAAGCTGCAGAGGGAACGGCGGAGATGACTGGCGCATAGCGCATGAGCTTGCGGTCCAACGCATGAGCTTGGTGACACACCATCCCTCTCACCTGCACATTGTCATATAGCTCCAGTAGTGGCACCGCCAGCAGCTTGAGATTCTTGGGAACTCCAAAATACTGCCGCTCGGTGAGGGGAACCACAAACAGCTTTTTCATCTCCTGTTGGGAGGAGTGAAGAGCGGTGGAAAGGGGTGACGAGTTGCCAAGAGGAGTCAAAAGGAGTGAAGAGTGATGTGAAGAGGAATCAGCTGAAAGGGCAGCTTGAGATTCTTGGGAACTCAAAAGTACTGGAGCTCGGTTAGGGGCACCACAAAGAGCTTCTTCATCTCCTGTTGGGGGAGGGGTGAAGAGCGGTGGAGTGGAGTGATGAGTTCTCAAAAGGAGTCGAAACTGGTGAAGAGAAGTGCAGGTGAGTCGGGCAGCTTGGGATTTTTGGGAATAGGGGTACATGAGGGTCCCAAAGTGACCTTAGTGGCGCCTGAAATGCTGTTCCTCTACGGCCTTGTTTGCACACACACCATTTGCTTGCACACAAACCATTTGCTTGCACACAATGCACCAACCTACCTTGGGTTTTGTGATGAGCGGAGGGCAGTAGGCGTACATGAGGGTCGCAAAGTGACCTTAGTGGCGCCTGGAATACTGTTCCAAAAGGGGCCTTGCTTGCACACCACACAAGGAGATTCCTAGTGGCTCATAGAATACTGTTCCTTGAGAAATCTAAACATGATTTTCTTAGTGGACCATCAAATACTGTTCCTTCTTTAGATATTTTGTGCCTTTTAACCAACCTTGCCCTGCCAAAATACTGTTCCTCTTGGGACCTTCTTTGCACACCACGCACCAGCTGGAATAACCTTGGGCTTGGTGTTGTGGGGCGGAGGGCAGGAGGGGTACAAGAGGGCATCAAATTTACCCTAATGGTGCATGAAATACTGTTCTTTTGATCAGCCTTTGCACACCACGCACCAACCAGTCTAACCTTGAGTTAAGTGATGTGGGGCGGAGGGCAGGAGGGGTACATGAGAGTCTCAAAGTTGCACCAGGGCATGGCACTTGTGTGCTTTTATCCACCTTGCCATCCACACCATGCACACCAACCTACCTTGGGCTTTTGAGTCGACTCAAAAGTCACCTTGCCATCCACACCATGCACACCAACCTACCTTGGGCTTTTGAGTCGACTCAAAAGTCACCTTGCCATCCACACCATGCACACCAACCTACCTTGGGCTTTTGAGTCGACTCAAAAGTCACCTTGCCATCCACACCATGCACACCAACCTACCTTGGGCTTTTGAGTCGACTCAAAAGTCACCTTGCCATCCACACCATGCACACCAACCTACCTTGGGCTTTTGAGTCGACTCAAAAGTCACCTTGCCATCCACACCATGCACACCAACCTACCTTGGGCTTTTGAGTCGACTCAAAAGTCACCTTGCCATCCACACCATGCACACCAACCTACCTTGGGCTTTTGAGTCGACTCAAAAGTCACCTTGCCATCCACACCATGCACACCAACCTACCTTGGGCTTTTGAGTCGACTCAAAAGTCACCTTGCCATCCACACCATGCACACCAACCTACCTTGGGCTTTTGAGTCGACTCAAAAGTCACCTTGCCATCCACACCATGCACACCAACCTACCTTGGGCTTTTGAGTCGACTCAAAAGTCACCTTGCCATCCACACCATGCACACCAACCTACCTTGGGCTTTTGAGTCGACTCAAAAGTCACCTTGCCATCCACACCATGCACACCAACCTACCTTGGGCTTTTGAGTCGACTCAAAAGTCACCTTGCCATCCACACCATGCACACCAACCTACCTTGGGCTTTTGAGTCGACTCAAAAGTCACCTTGCCATCCACACCATGCACACCAACCTACCTTGGGCTTTTGAGTCGACTCAAAAGTCACCTTGCCATCCACACCATGCACACCAACCTACCTTGGGCTTTTGAGTCGACTCAAAAGTCACCTTGCCATCCACACCATGCACACCAACCTACCTTGGGCTTTTGAGTCGACTCAAAAGTCACCTTGCCATCCACACCATGCACACCAACCTACCTTGGGCTTTTGAGTCGACTCAAAAGTCACCTTGCCATCCACACCATGCACACCAACCTACCTTGGGCTTTTGAGTCGACTCAAAAGTCACCTTGCCATCCACACCATGCACACCAACCTACCTTGGGCTTTTGAGTCGACTCAAAAGTCACCTTGCCATCCACACCATGCACACCAACCTACCTTGGGCTTTTGAGTCGACTCAAAAGTCACCTTGCCATCCACACCATGCACACCAACCTACCTTGGGCTTTTGAGTCGACTCAAAAGTCACCTTGCCATCCACACCATGCACACCAACCTACCTTGGGCTTTTGAGTCGACTCAAAAGTCACCTTGCCATCCACACCATGCACACCAACCTACCTTGGGCTTTTGAGTCGACTCAAAAGTCACCTTGCCATCCACACCATGCACACCAACCTACCTTGGGCTTTTGAGTCGACTCAAAAGTCACCTTGCCATCCACACCATGCACACCAACCTACCTTGGGCTTTTGAGTCGACTCAAAAGTCACCTTGCCATCCACACCATGCACACCAACCTACCTTGGGCTTTTGAGTCGACTCAAAAGTCACCTTGCCATCCACACCATGCACACCAACCTACCTTGGGCTTTTGAGTCGACTCAAAAGTCACCTTGCCATCCACACCATGCACACCAACCTACCTTGGGCTTTTGAGTCGACTCAAAAGTCACCTTGCCATCCACACCATGCACACCAACCTACCTTGGGCTTTTGAGTCGACTCAAAAGTCACCTTGCCATCCACACCATGCACACCAACCTACCTTGGGCTTTTGAGTCGACTCAAAAGTCACCTTGCCATCCACACCATGCACACCAACCTACCTTGGGCTTTTGAGTCGACTCAAAAGTCACCTTGCCATCCACACCATGCACACCAACCTACCTTGGGCTTTTGAGTCGACTCAAAAGTCACCTTGCCATCCACACCATGCACACCAACCTACCTTGGGCTTTTGAGTCGACTCAAAAGTCACCTTGCCATCCACACCATGCACACCAACCTACCTTGGGCTTTTGAGTCGACTCAAAAGTCACCTTGCCATCCACACCATGCACACCAACCTACCTTGGGCTTTTGAGTCGACTCAAAAGTCACCTTGCCATCCACACCATGCACACCAACCTACCTTGGGCTTTTGAGTCGACTCAAAAGTCACCTTGCCATCCACACCATGCACACCAACCTACCTTGGGCTTTTGAGTCGACTCAAAAGTCACCTTGCCATCCACACCATGCACACCAACCTACCTTGGGCTTTTGAGTCGACTCAAAAGTCACCTTGCCATCCACACCATGCACACCAACCTACCTTGGGCTTTTGAGTCGACTCAAAAGTCACCTTGCCATCCACACCATGCACACCAACCTACCTTGGGCTTTTGAGTCGACTCAAAAGTCACCTTGCCATCCACACCATGCACACCAACCTACCTTGGGCTTTTGAGTCGACTCAAAAGTCACCTTGCCATCCACACCATGCACACCAACCTACCTTGGGCTTTTGAGTCGACTCAAAAGTCACCTTGCCATCCACACCATGCACACCAACCTACCTTGGGCTTTTGAGTCGACTCAAAAGTCACCTTGCCATCCACACCATGCACACCAACCTACCTTGGGCTTTGTAACGTGCGGAGGGGAGTTGAGATACATGAGGGTTTTGGAGTTACCTCAGTGTGTTTTAACAAACCTTGGCATGCCGTCAACCACCCACCTTGGGTTTTGTGATGTGCGGCGGGGAGTAGGGATACATGAGGGCCTCGAAGTTGCCTTAGGGGTGCATGACATACTGTTCCTTCTTTCGATAATCTGTGCTTTTTAACCAACCACTCAACCAACCAGACTAACCTTGGGTTTTGTGATGTGCGGCGGGCAGTAGGGATACATGAGGGTCTCAAAGTTGGGTCTCCACCACACCGCAGAGCACTCGCCCACCTGACAGGGGGGAGTGTGCGCGTGGGGGAGTGTGCGCGTGGGGGAGAGGAGAGACAAAGGAGGAGCAGACGGAAGCTGGGAATTAAGGGAGGCGAGTAGGGGAGGGGTACACGAGGGTTTCGAAGTTGGGTCTCCACCACACTGCAGAGCACTCTCCCACCTGACAGGAGACAGCAAAGCAGCATGGTGGGAAGGCAGGGGGTGGGTGGGACAACACAGCAGCGGAGGGCAGTCAGTGGGGAGGGCAGTAGGGAGGGGAGAGCAGAATGGTGGGAGAGGAGCAGTAGGGTTACATGAGCGTCTCAAAGTTGGGTCGCCACCACACTGCAGAGCACTCGCCCACCTGACAGGTGGAGACATAGAGCGGGAGAGGGGGGGAACAAAGGAGGAGCAGAGGCAGAGCAGGCTGGGCATTACAGGGAGGGCAGTACACGAGGAGTCTCAGTGTTGGGTCGCCACCACACCCCAGAGCACTCTCCCACCTGACAGGACGACAGTTTGCGTATGGGGGAGAGGGGAGACAAAGAAGGAGCAGAAGGAAACTGGGAATCAAGGGACCTCACCTCGCCATCCCTACGAGTCATCCTCACCCGCTGGTCAGGTACGGACCGACAGGACATCAACTGAGCCACGGGACAGCAACTAAGCCCCTCACCTCACCTCACCTCGCCATCCCTACGAGTCATCCTCACCCGCTGGTCAGGTACCGACAGACGGGACACAGACGCCCAGCATCTAGTATCCCTAACCGCCACCTCTACCTGCCGAACCTGCACCGAACCTGCGTTTCGAACCTGCTTCCAAACCTAGCCCCCAGGGCTCCTCACCTGCCAGTCAGGCCAGCTTGCTGGTGAGCTTGCTTCCATTGTTCTCCTACCTCCATCGGGACTTGTAGCCTTCTACCCCTACCCCTACCCCTACCCCTACCCCTACCCCTACCTCCCTATGCCCCTCTCCTCACCTGCCAGTCAGGAACGGGGAGTATGGACACCGACGGGCCCAACTTGCTGGTGAGCTTTCGCTTCAGCCCCTCTACCTCTGGGGGGGGAGTGGGATGGGGTTGACAGGGGCAACAGCGGGGTGCAATGCGGTTGGGTGCGATGTGCATGCACGGAGACATGAAGCACGTGCGTATAATCACAGGGATCCAGCTTGCTGGTGAGCTTGCGCTTTAGCCCCTCCACCTCTATTATGGGGAGTGGGAAGGGGGGAGGGTGGAGCGGGGAAGGGAGCTTGCTGGTAAGCTCTTGCTTTAGCCCCTCCACCTCTGAAAGGAATGATGAGTGATGCGATGGGGATGAGTGAGTGAGTACAAGCATGAGTGAGTTTCCTTGAAAAATCTCAAGAAAACCCTGTGGGTCGAGCACATGTGGCAAGCAAGCACTCTCTGTTTTTTGAGAATCCTCAAAAAACATATGCGGCAAGCAAGCACTCTCTGCTTAATTTTTACATATTAACTCGAGACCGTCAATAAAAGGAGACAAGGCCTGATCACATACCATCTTCCCCCGGCTTCAATCTCCCTCCGGGCAGCTTGAAGAAAGAGTTTCCGATCTGCAGCAGCAGGATGTGCGGGTGGTTGTGATGGTGGACTAATATAATTCCCTCCACGCTCGTTCTCATGCCCTCCTTCTGATAGCTGGAGGAACAGAAGGAGGGAGCAAGGGAGGGAGTGGGTTGCAGTAGAGCAGGATGTGCGGGTGGTTGTGGTAATGTACTAATATAATTCCCTCCACACTCGTCCTCATGCCCCCCTCCTGATAACTGGCGGGCGGGATGAGGCAACGGGAGGAGGGGGCAAAGAAAGGAGGCAGGTGGTACGAGGCAAGGCAGGTTGCAGCAGCAGATGTGCGGGTGGTAGTGGTGGTGCGGGTGGGCGAGGGGAGGAGGGAGCAAAGGCGGGACGGTCAAAAGGCCAAAGGGATTGATGGAAAGGGTTTGAGACGTCTCAAAACACAATCAAAAGACCAAAGGGATGGATGGCACGGTTGCAGTTGAGGCTCTGAACCAGTAGGATAGCTGGCGGTGCAGGTGGGCAGGGAAAGGTGGGGCGGGAATGAAGGCGGGAAACATGAATGGATGCAACACGCATGAGGGTATGAAAGTCGTGGTCGCTTTGGGACCCCTCATGCAACCACGATTATTACTGATGTGCACTAGAATAATTCCCTCCCCTCCACTCCACACTCGTCCGCATCATCTCCTGCAGATCGCTTCTTGGCTGGCAGGAGGGCAGGGGAGCACAGGGGTACAAGGGGGAAGTCCGTTTTCTATATGGGAAGAACCATGAAGGTGTGGTTTCGTGGTGGTGGCAAGGGCATGGGAATCGATATGCTTCCCTTCGCACTCGTCCGCATTCCTCCCTCCCTCTGATAGCTGGTTTGAGGGCGAGGACAAGGGAAGAAGTGGGTTGAGGAGGGTAAATGGGGGGTTGAGAGGGGGAAGGGTGAACGGGAGGAGTGGGAGGGTGGTCCGTTACTGATGGGAGCGTGTAGGGATGTTGTGGTGGGGAGCGTCTCATTCACGCACCTCAAACAATCTGTACCTTTCGTGACCAACCCTTTCCCCTTTTCCCTTCCCTTCCCCCCCCACTCTCCTCTCGTTCCCTCCCCCCATTCCCTCCCCAGCAACCCCCCGCAACCCCCTACTCCCCCCCCACATTCTTCACCATTTTCTCAACCTCCATCCTCGACCCCCCTTATCCTCCTCCTCCTTTCCCCCTTCCCCCAACCCCCTTTCCCCCTTCCAACTTCCCCCTTCCCCCAGCTGGTCCGCCACGGGCGTGTCGGTGGCCTCCCCTCAGGTTCCCTACTCTCTCATTCCCCCCTCCTCCACCCTCCCCCCCGCTCGTCCTTGCCCCCCCTCCCCTCCTCTTTCCTCACTTGTGTTTCATCCGCGCCAGTCGGTCCGCCACGGACGTGTCCTTTTCGATCTTGGGCTCCTTCACGCCAAACGAGTAGTTCTCTAACGGGTATATGTTCACCACCGGCCCGCCCACCATGCTGACAGAACTTTCGTAACAGACCTAGCAAAATCCCTACAGCGTGGTCCTTAAATATTTTTGTTGGAGTCGTCTAAAGCGAGGAGCTTTGTAGCGAAGTGTATATCAAACACTTGCAGCGAAGACCACTATAGCGAGGACTGAATGGAGACCACTATAGTCGATTTTCACAGGCACAGCACTGGCGATAGAGACCGACGGAGACGAGCCGAATGGAGCGGCTCGAGGCTGAGAAAAGACAAGAATTGCTACTCGATATTGGTGATATGATGCGGGCTCAGAGGCGCAGGATCTCTCCAGGATGGAACTTACGGGGACGCACGGTGCTGATCCGCTACAGCCGCTTACTTTTCGGCTAAAAGCTGTTACGAAACGGTAGAAAAAATCATAAATCATGGATCCACCAAACCAGTACAAGAATATTAGACAGAATATGAAAGCCCTTTCATCTCTTATTGATAAATGATGCAGTAGAATTCAATCCTGTACAGCGTGATTTGCACTATCTCTGCACAGATCTTGCCGATCAGGCGTGTCGTCTACTAGGGTTCCTTTGCTTCCTGTACCAGTAGTTGTATTGTACATATCGAAAAATGGCTTGTTTAATTTGCAGGGTGTTTTTTGAGAATTCTCAGAAGCACTTTGAAAATCCTCAAAAACACCCTATTGACCTTCCCACCAGGCACAATAATGGTCATCATCTACTAAAGTTTGTTGCATGAGCACTGGATCCCCCTTCTTGATCTTGAATATCGAGCAAGGACAGGGCAATGGCTTGTTGAAGCATCTGGAAGAAGCAACGAGAAATGAAATGGTAAAAAAAGGTGGAATGGAGTGAGACGTGGGTGTATGGAGCCAAAATACAGTAGAATTTCTAGATGCAGAAAGCTTTGGAGTTGTAAGGTGGAATAGGGGGGAGGGGGTTGGTGGTGGAGGGAAGGAGCATGGGTTGCATACCATGGTTGAGGAAACGAACGCTAGAAAATAATCACAAGAACGATCATGACACAATGCATGCAGCTCAACAGAATAGAGAAGACGACAGGAGAAAGCGTCAGGTCAGGTACAAGGAAAATCGAAGGAGAAAACGAACTGAGGTGTGTAGGGGATCGACATAAATACCACAGCCGTATGTTTGGTAACCACTCACCTCATCCTCATCATAGTCATCTTCAAGTCCAGGAGCAAGCTGAAGCGTTTAGGGTAAGAAAACAATAGGGTGTTGTATTTAATATTTCAATTTTGAAAAGAAGATAATCAACATCATTAAAACATCACCAGCATGGTGCTACAGAAGGCTGGAACAAAAACATTAGCATGGAAATGGAGTACACTGCACCAGCTGTTTTCGAGGCGCATAAAAAGACGACGTTCTCCCACAGCTTCAAATCGCCTCAAAAGCATTCATTCAAAAGCTGGAATGAAGCTGTGGGAGAACAGCTCTTCATTGTTTTCGGATCGGACAACTTGCGACTAAGCTCTCGTCCCCTCAAAACCTCGTTCTAAACACCTAGTCCTCTCTCACTTATTCTCGCTCCTCTCTACTTCACTCTCACTTTCTTGCTCCCTCTTCACCCTCCTCTCACCGCAACACCTCTCTCACCTATTCTCCTCTACCCCCTTCTCCCTCCTCTCACCTCTCCTCCAGGCGGCACGGAGGCAGCAAATCGGGCCATAAAGCGCGCCAACTCCTCACTCCTCAGCAACATTCTGGTCTTGACAAGTCACTCACGTCTTCTCCTCTCCTCTCCCCCCCGTTCCCCCTTCTCTCACCTCTCCTCTCCTCTCTCCTCCAGGCCGCACGGAGGCAGCAAATCGTGCCATCAAGAGAGGTGACTTTTGAGTCGACTCAAAAGTCTCCTCCAGGCCGCACAAAGGCAGAAAACTGTGCCATGAAGCACGCCAACTCCTCACTCCTCAGCAACATTCTGGTCTTGACAAGTCACTCACGTCTTCTCTCCTCTCCTTTCCCACGTTCCCCCTTCTCTCACCTCTCCTCTCACCTCTTCTCCAGGTGGCACGGAGGCAGCACACTGTACCATGAAGCGCGCCAAGTCCTCTCTGCTCAAAAGACCAACTGGTCTTGCACTCAACTCTTTTCTCTCTCACCCCATCTCCCTTTATCCCCCCTTTTTCCTCCTCTCACCCTGCCACTCGCCTCTCCTTCAACCGGCACAGAGGCAGCAAACTGAGCCATGAATTGAGCCAAGTCCTCTCTGCTCAAAAGACCAACTGGTCTTGCTCTCATCTCTCTTCTTCCTCTCTCACCTCATCGCCCTCTATCCCTCCTTCCTCTTCTCGACCTGCCTCTCACCTCTTCTCCAGGCGGCACGGAGGCAGCAACCTGTGCCATGAAGTGAGCCAACTCCTCACTGCTGAGTAGATCCCCAGCAGGCTGCACACAGGAGGGGAGACAGAGAGGCAGAGGGGGAGGCAGAGAGGCAGAGGGGGAGGCAGAGAGGCAGAGGGGGAGGCAGAGAGGCAGAGGGGGAGGCAGAGAGGCAGAGGGGGAGGCAGAGAGGCAGAGGGGGAGGCAGAGAGGCAGAGGGGGAGGCAGAGAGGCAGAGGGGGAGGCAGAGAGGCAGAGGGGGAGGCAGAGAGGCAGAGGGGGAGGCAGAGAGGCAGAGGGGGAGGCAGAGAGGCAGAGGGGGAGGCAGAGAGGCAGAGGGGGAGGCAGAGAGGCAGAGGGGGAGGCAGAGAGGCAGAGGGGGAGGCAGAGAGGCAGAGGGGGAGGCAGAGAGGCAGAGGGGGAGGCAGAGAGGCAGAGGGGGAGGCAGAGAGGCAGAGGGGGAGGCAGAGAGGCAGAGGGGGAGGCAGAGAGGCAGAGGGGGAGGCAGAGAGGCAGAGGGGGAGGCAGAGAGGCAGAGGGGGAGGCAGAGAGGCAGAGGGGGAGGCAGAGAGGCAGAGGGGGAGGCAGAGAGGCAGAGGGGGAGGCAGAGAGGCAGAGGAACCGAAGGGTAGGGCTGTGTGTGAGTGGGAAGGCAAACTGTGCCATGAAGCGCGCCAAGTTGCACTACCAGAAGCAAAACCAGGTTGATTGCATACCTCAGCAACGGGGGGTGGGCGCTGGTAGGTGGTGTGTAGAGGGTTCGACTCGGCAGCACTGGGAGGGGCATCAGCTCTCGTGCTCCTGGCAGCAGCAGCAGCAACACCACCAGTAGCACCAGCAGCACCACCAGAAGCAGCAGCAGCACGCGGCACTGGTTGTTGCGAATCAGACCCCGCAGGGATGTGACTATAAAGGGAGGTGGAGGGTGGTTCCTCTATAGGAGGAGGCTGCAGCACGTTGTGCAGGAAGATGGCGGCCGAGTCGTAGAAGAAGTTGGGGCGGTGGGAGTTGTGGTCCCCCGCAAAGGTGATCAGATTCTTGTCACCCTGAGGGGAGAAAGGAGGAGAGGGAAAGTGGAAACGGGGGAGAGGAAGCAGGGGACGCTGCTTTGAAATCACGACTCAAAACGGTGAGTCTAGTGAAAAAAGGGAGGGCGGGAAGGGGGGGAAAGGGGGACTCCTCTATGGGGGGTGGGAGCAGCACGTTTTGGAGGAAGATGGAGGCCGGGTCAGAGGCTGCATGCAACCAAATTTGATCGCACCTAGCCTCACCCTCACTACACATGGAGGAGCATGTACCTACCCACCGCATAGGCCTCGTGTATTTGCTGCGAGTGGTGCGGCAGAATGAAGGTGTCTCCACATGCATGCCCAAACAGCGCCGGGATGAAGCTGCTCCTCACTGCACATGACCGCACCTGACCACATACAACCGCACAAGGCCTCACTACATGTGCAAGCACATGCACCCACCGCGTAGGCCTCATGTATTTGCTGCGAGTGGTGTGGCAGAATGAAAGTGTCCCCTGATGCATGCCCAAACAACACTGGAATGAAGCTGCTCCTCACTACAGATGACCGCACCTGACCACATACAACCGCACAAGGCCTCACTACATGTGCAAGCACATGCACCCGCCGCGTAGGCCTCATGTATTTGCTGCGAGTGGTGTGGCAGAATGAAAGTGTCCCCTGATGCATGCCCAAACAACACTGGAATGAAGCTGCTCCTCACTACACATGACCGCACCTGACCACATACAACCGCACAAGGCCTCACTACATGTGCAAGCACATGCACCCACCGCGTAGGCCTCATGTATTTGCTGTGAGTGGTGCGGCAGAATGAAGGTGTCCCCCGAAGCATGCCCAAACAACACCGGGATGAAACTGCTTCGTGCCACTCCCACGGCATCTAGATCGTTGATGTCAAAATCAGGTATCTTCTTCTTGATCAGATTCCTCAGGTAGTAAACGAGCATCTTCACCTGTTGCGAGGGACAGGGTTGAGTGAAAAGAACAGCACTGGGATGAAGCTGCTCCTCGCCACTCCCACGGCATCCAAGTCGTTCATGTCAAAATCAGGTATCTTCTTCTTGATCAGATTCCTCAGGTTATCGGGCACACTTAAGCAGGCCCTCGCCCTCCCACATAAGCACATCAGCAACAATGGAAACCAACCAGCCTTCCCAAGGCAGAATCGTCCATCCATACTTACACCTTCCCAGTCTCTAGGCTTTTCCTGTCGTAAAAAATGATCTCTGGATTTCACAGCGTAGCGCACGATCTGCACCAAGACTGCCGCGCAAACAGTGCTTGAGATGATGTGCACTACGCTGCTAGTCCTGGTGCTGATGTGCTGCACATCATCTCAAGCACGCACGCACGCCGAAGGATTTTCAGCTGACCGTGAATTTGGGGAGCTTGATCTTGAAGGTGTCCACGAGCTCCAGAATGAGGTTGGGCAGGTTGGAAAACGGGCTGTCCAGCACCATCCCCGCTATAGACAGATCCTTTGCAGCGTACATGAGCCTGGACAGGAAACGAGGGAAAAACAAATAAACAGGGGGAAAAACGGGGAAGGGGAGGAGGGCGGGGAGCGGAGAAAGAGGATTAATAACAACGGGCTGTCCAGCACCATCCCCGCTATAGACAGATCCTTTGCTGCGCACATGAGCCTGGAATGGTATGTTGGGAAAATCAGTGATGCAGAAGGTGGGTGGGGGGGTACAAGGGGAGAGGAGGGGGGAAGGTGACACACTAAGGAAAAGATGGGAAGGCTTGCCCTTCATGCACCCAACCCTCATGACTTTTGAGACATCTCAGAATGCTGGAATGATATGTTGGGGAAATCAATGAAGGGGAAGGTGCGAAGGGGGGAACTGAGGAGAGGAGAGGGGAAGGTGACAGACAGACACCCCATGGAGGTGTTACTTTTGAGAATTCTCAAAAGCAACACCAACATAGCGGGCAAGAGGAGAGGAGGGGGAAGGTGGTGACACAGCAAGGAAAAGAGGGGAAGGCTTCTCCCACCCATGCCACTTTCGAGGTGAATGGGTCGCCCCCACCCACAGCCCTACGAGCCACGCAAAGCCCCCTCATGCCTCCCCCTCATGGCAAGAAGCAGCAGCAACCCCACAAGAACCCCCTCATGCCTCCCCCTCCCCACCCCCTTTGGAAGAAACTCACAAGGTCACAGGCCCCATCGAACGCCCCCACAGGCCTATACGAGTGACACGCTGCCCTCCAATACTCCCCCGTAAATCTGTCCCTACAAACCTGTCCCCGTCCATCCACCCCCCTCGCCACTCACAAGGTCACAGCCCCCATCGATCGCCTCCACAGGCCGATATCAGTGACAGGCTGCTCTCAAGGCCAGAGGCAGCAGCAACCCCACAGGATCACCCCCCTTATCCCTCTCTTCTCCTCAACACCCCCCCCCTCCCCACCCCTTGTGGAAGAAACTCACGAGGTTACAGCCCCCATCGATCGCCCCCACAGGCCTATCAGCGACACACTGCCTTCAGCTCTTAGATGATCCACCACTGTAGTAAGATCCTCCATCTGAGCACGAGGGGAGGGAGGGGAATGAAGAGGAGAGAAGGGCAGCCGAGAAGCAGAGTGGTAGCAGCAAGAGAGCATAAGCGTGAGGGCAGCGACACAGAGCCCTCGGCTCGTAGATGATCCACCACAGTAGTAAGATCCTCCATCTGAGGGGCGAGAAGCAGAGACGGAGCGACACCGTACAGCAAAGGAGAGGGGGGAAGAAGCAAAGCAAGAACGTGGGATGAGCAACACGCTGCCTTCCGCTCTTAAAGCAAGAACGCGGGGGGGAAGAAGTTAACGCATTGATTGATTGACTCTTAATATCCGAAACGTGAAGCTACTCTAGATGTATGTCTTATGTTGTCTGATTGTAGGAAAAAATATTCACTATCGTTGGAAAGCCCATTACAAACGCTTGTCTGGAAGGATACCACTGCTGCTCGTAATACGCAAACAGGCAGCAGTGGTAACCTTCCAGACAAGCGTCCGTGATGGACATTACAACAATACTAAATAATTTCCCCCTATAATCAGACGACATAAAGCATACGTTCAGAGCGGCTTCACATTTTGAATATACGGGGTTAATCAATCAATGCGCTAACCCAAACCTCCCCAGCGTGACGTAGTCCCCTTGGGACATGCCTGATCTCAAGAAGTCGAGAGCAAAGACGGTGATGTTGGTAGGGAGGGAGGGAGGGAGGGTGATGTAGAAGCCAACATCACGAATCGTCCTGTAAAGCCTTTGCCCTCGTGGAATAAACAAACACCCCTTACCTCGAATCTTCCCAGAGTGACATAGTCCCCTTGCGACATGCCCGATCCCGAGAAGTCGAGAGCAAAGACGGTGATGTTGGCAGGGAGGGAGGGAGGGAGGGAGGGTGATGTAAAAGCCTACATCACGGATATTCGTCCTGTAAAGCCTTTGCTCTCGTGGAGTAAACAAACACCCTTTACCTCGAATCTCCCCAGAGTGACATAGTCCCCTTGCGACATGCCCGATCCCGAGAAGTCGAGAGCAAAGACTGTGATGTTGGATGGCAGCAGCACAAACACTGCTTCACTGGCGTCGGCCCGGCAGCCACTGGATAAAAACGGGGGCGGGGGGGAGTGGGGTGAGAAGACGGGGGTATGAAGTGAGAACGAAAAAGTGTGGGGGAACGTCGGAGGCAAAAAAAGGTTCTGAAGAGACTGTGACGTTGGTGGGGTGAGTGGGAGGAATGGAAGGGAAGGTGAAAAAACGGGTACAGACGGTGATGTTGGCAGTGAGCAGAACAAATACGACCTTGTTTGAGCCGACAGAACAGCCACTTTTGGGGTGAAGAGGAAGGCTAAGAAAGTGCGGAGAATACTATGGGAGAGGAGAGGCTGATTGGCGGGATCTGGAGAGAAGAATCCGGACGGCAGCATCTGGACGGCAATACTTTGACTGGCATAATCTGGGCAAAGAGCGACAAATAACAAGAAAGCAGAGGCTGCACCTGTTCCCATGGCAATAGATGACACATGGCAGCTTCTGATTGGGCGGGATGTGGGCCGGCATGTAGTGACTGCATTCTAGTACGTGGCCTCGGCTATTTACAAGCTGAAAAGGGAGGGGGTAAGAGGGGAAAGGGGAGGAAACAATGGGAAACGAAGGATGGGAGACGGAGGGAGGGGGTTTCCACGAAAGTGACTGCATTAGTGAACGTGGCATTGGGTATTCACAAGCTGGGAGCGGAAGGAGAGGGGAGCAGGGGGACGGGGAGGGGAGAGTGAGGATGGTTGAGGAAGGAAGGGTTTGTCCAATAGCGAGTGACACTGCAGCACAGTGCAATAGATTTCATTTAGCTGACTTCTGAGTCGACTCAAAAGTCACCTCGTGACACTGCAGCACGCTGCAATAAATCTCAGCACGTGCTGTTGGTAATCCAGCGATGCCGGGGGGGAGAGAGGAGGGTGGGGGGGCCTTTGAGGGTAGACGCAATAACATAAATTTTTGTTTTAGCTATGCAGTAAATTGACGCATTAGGAAATCAAAAGCCAAAGAGGTGATTTCAACAACTAGCAGGGTAATTCAAAGAGACTATGAGGAGAGACTTGTGTTTTAGTCGACTCAGAATTCGCTGCAGCAGCACAATCGCACACACCTGAAGGTCGTGGCGGCGGTACTGCCTTCCTCTGAGAGCAAAGAGCGGCCCCACGAGGTCTGTCTGTACCGAATACTCCGCACTGCGTGGTGGGGAAAAAAGGAGGAGGAGGGAGGGTAGAAATAAGGGGTTGTGTGATGCCTGCCAGGGGTTGTGTGTTGCCTCAAACCTCCAGTGAGTGCAACGAGCGGCCCCACCAGGTCTGTCTGTACCGAGTACTCCGCACTGCGCGTGGTGGGGGGGTGGGGTAAGATGGGAGGGAGGGAGCGTGGAAGAGGGGGGGGGAGGGAGGGAGGGAGGGAGGGAGGGAGGGAGGGAGGGAGGGAGGGAGGGAGGGAGGGAGGGAGGGCGGGACGGACGGACGGACGGACGGACGGACGGACGGACGGACGGACGGACGGACGGACGGACGGACGGACGGACGGACGGACGGACGGAGAAAGGGTTATGAAGCGCCTCAAAACTTCTATGAGCGCAAAGAGAGGGCCCCACCAGGTCTGTCTCTGCTGAGTATTCCGAACTGTGTGGTTGAGAGGGGGAGGTGGGGAGGGAGGGACGGAGGGGAGAAGCTGGGACAGGACTAACCAGATCCAGGATATGACCCAATATAGCTGGCGAGCGGATGCTAGTAACGGGTATATCTCTACCGAATTCAGATTTGACAAACCGTAGGCGAAGAGGCCGGATATGGAGGTTCACTATCTGATCCAACATGTGTGGCAAGCCAAGGCGTTGCTGCTAATAACGGGTATATCTCCTACCGAATCCAGAAACGACAAGTCTTACCGAGGAGGCTGGATGACGAGGTTCACGATCTCATCCAACATGGCTGGCAAGCGTCTGCTAATAACGGGTATAACCTTAACCGAATCCAGAAACGACAAACCGTACCGAGGAGGCCGGATGACGAGGTTCACGATCTCATCCAACATGGCTGGCAAGCGTCTGCTAATAACGGGTATAACCTTAACCGAATCCAGAAACGACAAACCGTACCGAGGAAACCGGATGACGAGGTTCACGATCTCATCCAACATGGCTGGCAAGCGTCTGCTAATAACGGGTATAACCTTAACCGAATCCAGAAACGACAAACCGTACCGAGGAGGCCGGATGACCAGGTTCACGATCTCATCCAACATGGCTGGCAAGCGTCTGCTAATAACGGGTATAACCTTAACCGAATCCAGAAACGACAAACCGTACCGAGGAGGCCGGATGACCAGGTTCACGATCTCATCCAACATGGCTGGCAAGCCAAGGCGCGTCTGGAGCCTCCGCGAAGTGGTTTTGAGACGACTCAAACTATGGACTGGCCTCCACAAACTTTTGAGAATTCTTAAAGCCGGGGCCTCCGCGAAGGATCCGCAAAGGCGTGTCTGGCAGGCCAAGGCGCGTCTGGGGCCTCCACGAAGTGGTTTTGAGACGACTCAAACTATAACGGGGCCTCCGCAAGGTTGGCGTTGCTTTGGAGAAATTCTCAAAAGGAGCCTCCGCGAAGTGGTTTTAAGGCGTCTCAAACTATGGAGGGGCGTCCGCAAAGTTGGTGTTGCTTTGGAAAATTCGAATCCTTAAACGGAACCTCCGCGAAGGATCCGCTAAGGCGTGGCTGGCAAGCCAACGCGCGTCTGGGGCCTCCGCGAAGGATCCGCGAAGATATCAGTCAAGCTCGACGAGCTACGAAAGGATTCTTTTGAATCGACTCAAAAGTCGCCAAGCCAACGCGTGTCTGGGGCCTCCGCGAAGGATCCGCAAAGATATGAGTCGAGCTCGACGAGCTACGGAAGGGTTCTCACACCCGTCTTAACGCTGCTGAGACCAATCAGATTGCGCCAGGCCAGCTCTGCCACCTGTGCAACGTGGCAGAGTTTCGATAGGGATACACGAGCGCGTGTAGGTTCGAATAGGGCTACTGGGTCGACCACAAAATTATCGCTGTAGATCTTTTCCGAGAAGGCTCAAAAGCATATCCACTAGGGCCGTATTTTTCCTGCTATTTTACTCTCTATTATTTCTCAGCAGCGCCGCGTCGCGAGGTCACTCGGTTGTCGGGAATATTGATATAGGAAAACCTTTTATTTCCAGCAGCTCATATTTGTAACGGCATGTCAAGAAACGCGAGAGGATTAAACGTTACACCTGGACGCGTGTGGATTAAACGCTACAGCTGGACCTGTCACCAAGTAGTCGCCATGTTGACACTAGGACTGTTAATATCTCCTTCATTCAAACTGTACAGACTCGGTTTTAAAAAAGAGCAGAGTCTTACGAGACACCTGTGATACCGTGTCGCAGACTAGGGTCTTTATAAGCTCGACTGAAGTATGATGGAGCGGGAAAAATGAAGCTGGGAGCTGTTGGTGAAAGGTTTTTCCCGCTCGCTGTTTCGAACAAAATCAAGCGCCGACATGGATGGAGCCACGATCTCAAGGTCGCATTTCTTTCCTGTTCAATTCGCAGATCACGACTAGCGGTACGCTGTCAAGGTCAGTTTATGCTGCAAGGTCCCTTCGTTTCAATCGTGTTCCAACTTCCAACTTCGTTCAGCGGCGTTCCGAAGCAACAGAGCACTGGCTCAATTTTGGCGGTTTGGTGTTGTCTCTGCGTCACTGACGAGAGAGGTGTGTGCTGTTGGGATAGATACTGTATTCTATTTGGATCTTGTGTCAGGGGGTCTTCTAAAGGGTATGCTTCTCAAATCGGGTTGAAATGATCTTGACCGCAATGGACTATCTTGCACCCAACAGAACCTCCATGAAGCGAACGTGCTCGTACGCTGTGTAAGGATTCTAGTTACGAAAAACACTGAACTAGCTCAGGTTACCTTATGTTTAGAACTGAACAATAACCTGGTGCATCTCAACTCTGAGAAAGGAATGGGGCACATCTCCGAATAATGAAAGGACATGCCTAGGTCTTTGTTACATTTGATTTTTGTATTCTGATGCAAGAGTTGTTTTCGATATGTTTGATGCTAGCTGTTGAAATGAAACTTCCAATATCTGTGTTTCCAGGTTCAGAGGGAGGAACATCAACCGCAGGTGATACATTGAAAAATCCATGTGGCTGCACACATTACAGAGGAGGGAAGTGGCATAAGAGCAAGTGGAAAGAAGGGTGTTACTAATTTTGCGTAGTATGGAAATGCAAGACAATGGTTCACCATACGGATATGTTGTTATTGTGTATGATTGGCGCTTTGCAGATTGCAACTGACGTAATATAACCAACCCACCGACTCACCATGAGATAGAATCCCATGCACTCGCATGGCATGACAGGCAAATCCTCCTGTCTTTGGGTGATCCCAAGCATGCATTCTCTGAGTGGCTTACAAGACACCTACTCCCCACCAGACAGAAGCCCATGTAATCGCATGGCGCGTCCCAAGCCTCTAGTCTCGGCGGCACATGGGTCAGTTCAAACACGTATCTTAAAGAGCCCCACAACCCACCTACTCCACAGGAGCAGCCCATTCACTCCAGCCTAGGCACATACGTCAGTCTAGTTGATGCCGCAAAACCCCCCGACTCCTCACGAATTTCTCACCATGAGAGAACTAATCACTCACCATGAGGCTGAAGCCGATGTATTCACGTGGCATGACGGGCCAATCCTCCAGCCTCAGCACGTGGGGCAGTCCAAACAGACGCCCTTGAAGCGCGTCTCAAGCCGCCAACCCCCCTTCAGAGCAACCCCTTCACTCACCAAGAGGCTGAAGCCGATGTATTCGCACGGCATGACGGGCCAATCCTCCAGCCTCGGCACGTGGGTGAGTCCAAACACATACCTACAAGACACCTCACAAGCCACCGACTTACCACAAGCAACCGAGTCACTCACCATGAGGCTGAAACTAAATTTTCACGAGAAAGCCACAAAAGCCACCATTTTCCACGAGAAAATTAATCGCTCACCAGGAGGCTGAAGCCGATGTTCTCGCATGGCATGACAGGCCAATCCTCCAGCCTCGGCGCATGTGTGAGTCCAAACACGTACCTTCACATCACAGGGGGTTGAGCACAGGATGTTTGGAGCAGAAAAGAAGGGGAGGAAGACATTGTTATACGCCTTAATTGAACGAACCTCCGGGGTGGTCATGGAAGTAGGGTGTATTTGTAAGGGCAACTCCGGATACGGTTTTCGGGAATAGAGGCCCGCTTTTATGGCACAAAGAAGGCGTGCGTACAAGAAAAGAGATGAGACCCAATAATGTGGGTAAGTGGTGGGAGGAGGAGCATCTCAAGAAAGTGTCAAACACTAGTTGGGTTCTCACTTATAAGAAAGCACCACTCACCAAAGCATCACTTACCAAAGCACCACGTCAGCATTGTCAATGGATCTGTTCTGCTGCACCCACAAAGGCAGCCCATCGCCGACCCTGGGGTTCTGGTTCGGGAACTCGCCGCCCGGAAACCGTTCCTCCGGGTGGTACGGCGTGACCCACAGGTTGTGCTTCAGGAAAGCTGCCCGGCGGAGAAATTTCGCCTCGGGCTGCGAGAAGGGCAGGCAGTTGGACCCCGGCACGAGCTTGTAGGCCGTGGGACGACCTGCCCTGTTGACTGCCCGAGGGTTTCGTATCTGCCCGTGTGTTGGGAAGGAGGAGCAAAGAAGTGGGCAGAAAAGTGGGCTGGCCAATAAATGGACAACATGTGGCAGAGGCTGAATGACGTGGCACGTAGAACCTTTTTCAATGCATTCAGGGGAGTGACGCACCTTGTACTAACCGGCGTATTTTAGAGTCGAATCAAAATACACTTCAGTTACTGATGAATGAAGGGGATACTTTACACCTGCATCTCATGAACGACAATTTCCGTCCAAATAATACTGCACACTAAGCCTGGATGACAGAAGCCCTCACAAACTCCCTCACTCTCCCTCTCGAATGGTCCTTTGTATCATGTAAAGGCATGTACAAAGGAGAGGCAGGGGTAAATCTCCCTCACTCCCTCACTCTCCCTGACTCACTCCCTCCCTCCCCCATGCACAAACCAGTGCCGAGCAGAGAGAGAATACACATCTTTCATCCCTCGCCTGAAGCACCCTTCCATCGGCATAGAAGGCATTCCCTCTCATCCGTTTGCGATCTCCCTCTATACGCCCCCAGTTACTCAGTCGCCCTCTCACCAGCCAGTGCCAGCAGACATGGGATCCACGTCTCTCATGCCCTCGCCCTCTGTTCTTTGAATCCATGACTCACTCCTTCACACACTCTGCCACTCACTCCCTCAGTCACTCAGTCATCCACGCACTCACCAGCCTGTGCCGAGCAGACGAGGGATTCACATCTCGCATGCCTTCGCCCTCTGTCCGAAGCACCCTCTCCTCCGCATACAAGGCATTTCAATGTCGGTTGTGGCGGCCTTCCCGTTCCCAGCTGTGTCTGTATATCTATATCCTTACAGCTCACTCTCCCTCACTCACTCGCTCCCTCCCGCACATTCTCTCTCCCGCACACAGTTCCATCATGCACTCACAAGCCAGAGGCGAGCAGAGAGGGGATTCGCGTCTCTCACTTCTGTCCGAAGGAGAAGCACCTTCTCCTCCTTCTGTCCGAAGGAGAAGCACCTTCTCCTCCTTCTGTCCGAAGGAGAAGCACCTTCTCCTCCTTCTGTCCGAAGGAGAAGCACCTTCTCCTCCTTCTGTCCGAAGGAGAAGCACCTTCTCCTCCTTCTGTCCGAAGGAGAAGCACCTTCTCCTCCTTCTGTCCGAAGGAGAAGCACCTTCTCCTCCTTCTGTCCGAAGGAGAAGCACCTTCTCCTCCTTCTGTCCGAAGGAGAAGCACCTTCTCCTCCTTCTGTCCGAAGGAGAAGCACCTTCTCCTCCTTCTGTCCGAAGGAGAAGCACCTTCTCCTCCTTCTGTCCGAAGGAGAAGCACCTTCTCCTCCTTCTGTCCGAAGGAGAAGCACCTTCTCCTCCTTCTGTCCGAAGGAGAAGCACCTTCTCCTCCTTCTGTCCGAAGGAGAAGCACCTTCTCCTCCTTCTGTCCGAAGGAGAAGCACCTTCTCCTCCTTCTGTCCGAAGGAGAAGCACCTTCTCCTCCTTCTGTCCGAAGGAGAAGCACCTTCTCCTCCTTCTGTCCGAAGGAGAAGCACCTTCTCCTCCTTCTGTCCGAAGGAGAAGCACCTTCTCCTCCTTCTGTCCGAAGGAAAAGCACCTTCTCCTCCTTCTGTCCGAAGGAGAAGCACCTTCTCCTCCTTCTGTCCGAAGGAGAAGCACCTTCTCCTCCTTCTGTCCAAAGGAGAAGCACCTTCTCCTCCTTCTGTCCGAAGGAGAAGCACCTTCTCCTCCACATAGAAGGCAGTCCCAGTGCCCTCTCTCTCTCTCTGTGTCTGCAAATACTCCCCCACCCACTCACCAGCCAGTGCCTAGCAGACAAAGGATTCACGTCTCTCATCCCTTCGCCCTCTGTCTGAAGCACCCGCTCCTCTGCATAGAAGGCATTCGCATGGGGGTTGTGGGGACCGTCCGTCTCAGCCCTCACATTCACCTCCACCACCTGAGTAAGGAGGACGGACAGGGAGTAACGGCACATCAAGAGATCATGATCGCATACGCATGTGAGTTGCAGGGTCCCCTCCTCCCCCCTCTGCCCTCACGTTTACCTCCACCGCCTGATGCAGCTGGACTTTCCAACCCCCCATTCATCTTGTTCACCCCTTCCCCGAACGGCAGCCACCTTCAACCCCTGCTCTCTCCTCACCTGATTAGCCGTCTCCCCCGGGCGGCAGTCAACAGCCATGTCCATGCGAGCCACAAAGAAGTGCTGGTGGATGGGAGCGTACAGCCCCGGCGCCAGCAGCGTGCCGTACTTGCGCTCCTCGCCCTCCCTCACCGCTCCCACCGATAGGATGCCCGTCAGCTTCACTTGCGCTTCTATCTTTCCATCCTGCAGTGTGGAAGAAGCAGGTAAGGGAAGAAATACGAGGGGAATTTCGGAGATCAGGGGGAACAGGCCGAGGAGGAAGGGGGGTATCCGAGTAGAAGGGATAGTGGGGGGGGGTGGAAGGTTGAAGGGGATGGATGGGACTATGCACACCTGGCGCCAGAAGAAGCTGCATTTGTAGATCACGACAGTGATCTGTGCACACAAACTAGAATGCACACCAGTGAGTTAGTGAATTCGACTAAAAACTTATAGGAAGCACCCACGGTAGAGAGAGATACCAGAAGAAGCCATAGTCGTAGTTCCCTATGGTGCAGAGAAACGAGAGTACCATACCTTCCCAAACAGTGTGTGAGTGCACTCAATTGAATCTGGCAGGGATGGGCCAGCAGGGGGACAGCATACCTGGTAGAGGTACCAGAAGAAGCCATAGTCGTAGTTCCCAATGGTGCAGAGAAACGATAGCACCACTGTCCCACAGTGTGAGTGCACATGACACGGACAAGACAAAGCAAGCAACCCACCTGGTAGAGATACCAAAAGAAGCCATAGTCGTAGTTGCCAATCGTGCAGGGAAACGAGAGGCTCACCAGTGGGTTAAAGCCCTTGACTCGAGCGAACTGTCATGAAACACATACCTGGTAGAGATACCAGAAGAATCCATAGTCGTAGTTGCCAATCGTGCACACAAACGAGAGCACGAGCCGTCTGGACCGCCTCACTTCCGTGTGGCCCGAGCGCCAGTCGACGTGCTTCCAGAGGATGCCAAAGTCCTCCTCATGCATGCACACGGCGTTCTCTATCGTCTCCACCCCGCCCAGGAAGTTGCTCATGTGCGCGTCAAAGTAGCGGATCAAGCCCAGACAGTTGCATCCCTGAGGAAGAGGAGGAGACAGGGAAAGGAAACAAGGGGTAGAGCGGTGAAGAGCCTTCCTCTTGCCTTCGATCCAGTAGCAGCAGCACCACCACCAGCACCACCAGTGCCGCACCAACCCCCCAAGTCCACGTGCTTCCAGAGGATGCCAAAGTCCTCCTCATGCATGCACACGGCGTTCTCTATCGTCTCCACCCCGCCCAGGAATTTGCTCATGTGCGTGTCAAAGTAGCGGATGAAACCCAGACAGTCACAGCCCTGAGAGGAAGAGAGGAGACAGGGAAGGGCAACAGGAGGTAGAGGGATGAAGTTGCTCATGTGCGCATCAAAGTAGCGGATGAAACCCAGACAGTCACAGCCCTGAGGGGAAGAGAGGAGACAGGGAAGGGCAACAGGAGGTAGAGGGATGAAGCCCAGACAGTGGCGGATGAAGCCCAGACAGTGGCAGCCCTGGGGAGGAGAGAGCAAGGAAGGGGATAGGGAATAGGGAGGGTGAAGTTGCCCATATGCGCGTCAAAGTAGCGGATCAGCCCCAGAGGATTGCATTGCATCCCTGGGGGAAGGGGAAACGGATGGTGGAGTGGAGGGAGAAGAACGGATGGTGGAGTGGAGGGGCCTCACTATTGATTCCGCAGCAGCAGCCCCTCCAGCCACCCCACAAGCAGCAGCAACCTTTTGGAGTGAGTGGGCATTTATCCCCAGCCCGTTTTGAGCCGTCTCAGAACTCAGCAGCAGCAGCCCCTCCAGCAGCTTCTGCAGCAGCCCCAAAGCAGCGGCAGCAGCAACCCCACCACCAAAGGCTGCTTTTGAGTCGACTCAGCTTTTGAGTCGGCTTTTGAGTCGACTCAAAAGCAGCTTCTGCAGCAGCCCCAAAGCAGGGGCAGCAGCAACCCCACCACCACCAAAGGCACGCACCTTCTTGAGAGAGTGCGCGTTCTTCCCCAGCCCGCCCTCCCTTGCTTGCTACTCTTTGATTGAGCTCAACTTCTTGAGAGAGTGCGCCTTTTGCCCAGCCCGCCCTCCCTCCCTTGCTTCTCTCTCCTTGCCCACAGCCACGCACCTTCTTGAGAGAGTGTGCGTTCTTCCCCAGTCCTTCCTCCCTTGTCTGCACCACCAGCCACCCCCTAAGGGCACGCACCTTCTTCAGCGAGTGCGCGTTATTCCACAGCCCGTCCTCCCTTGCTTGCTTCTCTCTCATTTAACTCACCTTCTTGAACGAGTGCGCGTTCTTCCACAGCCCGTCCTCCCTTGCTTGCTTCTCCCTCATTTAACTCACCTTCTTGAGCGAGTGCGCGTTCTTCCCCAGCCCGTCCTCGCCGGCGTCGAAGGCGTTTTTGCGGTAGTGGGGCTCGTGGGGGTCGCCATACGGCACCACCATCTCGCAGAAGCTCAGCCGGTGCGCAACGCCCCTCCTGCCGCTGCTGCCGTCGTCGTACGCCAGTGAGTGCAGCACCAGGCCTTCTTTAGGCGTGAACCCTACTCGGAAGCTCCACTGGAAAGAGGGGGGGGGTTGGGGGGAGGAATGGGCAGGAGTAGGGAGGAATACGATGGAAAGGCTTAAGGTTTAGGGTTTAGGGGTTAAGGCCCACCGCTATGAACTTTTGAGGCGCCTCAAAAGTCGTCTCATGTCTCGCGGTTTTCATGTGGGGAGAATTATAATTGCATGGAAGTGTGCGCGTAACCTTCAGCGGTTACTTGTAAGGGCGCGGTTACCAAAGTCACTCGCCAATGTTGTCGAAGAAGTTCCCGAAGGCTGACTTGGCACCCTGAATTTGTTTCAATGCTTAGTTGGCGAACCCCTTTCCTAGTTGGATTCTGGGTAGTCGGGTTTCTTGTATGTAGATCTCGAGGGTAGTCTAGCTACTTTAGCTGCTACCAGACTCTCTGTTTCTGAGTTCCGAATTGTGCTGTACTGATGAAGGTGTGATTGGGTTCGCCCATCCGCCGAAACTAGTTTACGCAAGGAGGCTTTTCGGAAGCTAAGGGTTTTTCAGATCTGCGTTTTTCACACTCGTTTTTTCACTGTTGTTCCTTTGCTTAAGCGTCTTTACAACTACTGCAGCCCTTCGACAATGAGTCAAGGTGACCCGCAGGAGTAGGGAGGAATACGATGGAAAGGTTTAAGGTTTCACTCGGAAGCTCCACTGGAAGAAACAAGGGCGGGAAAGGGCGGGTGTTTGGGGGGAGAAAGGGCGGGAGTGGAGGGGGAAAGGGAGAGAAGAATGGAGGATGGGAGGAGAGGAAGGGGAGTGAAGAGGCACTCGTGGGGGTCGCCATACGGCACCACCATCTCACAGAAGCTCAGCCGGTGCGCAACGCCCCTCCTGCCGCTGCTGCCGTCGTTGTATGCTAGTGAGTGCAGCACCAGGCCCTCTTTAGGCGTGAACCCCACTCGGAAACTCCACTGGGGAAACAAGGAGCGGTAGAGGAAAGGATGGAAAAGAGCAAAGGGGTAAGGATCGTCATCAATGCCCCTCCTGCCACTGCTTCCATCGTCTTACGCAACCGCATGCAGCAACAGCCCCTCCTTCCCCTCTCTCCATGCGGATGGGCTTCAAGCCACAGCGGTCCACTCCACGTGAAAAAAGGAGTGTTTTGAGACGTCTCAAAACAGCGGTCCACTCCACGCTCCCCCTGTCCAGCCCAACCATCGCATCCACGATCCCCGTTCCGTCACCCTCCCCTCGTCCTACCTTCTGCCACTAAACGGCTTATTCCCACTTCTCTCACCCAAGCAGCACTCATCGCTTCACCCCCTCACTTTCTCTCAAACGGTCCTTCCATTCATGTAGGTCTTTGAAGTACAGACAAGTGCAAGAGGAGCCTATACATGTATAACTAGAGGTCACCTTCTCTCTTTCGCACCCACCTTCTGCCACTCCACACCATGTTCAGCCCCTCACCTTCCCCCTTCCCACCCATCTTTTGCCACTCCATGCCGTACTCAACCCCTCACATTCCCCCGTTTCCTCCCACCTTCTGCCACTCCACGGCGTATCCATTCACTCGGAAGCTCGGCCCTTCCGGCTGCTCTATTCTGATGGGCTTTAAGTCGGAGCAGTCCACGCCCCCCCTGTCCACTCCCATCCCATCCCTCTCTTTCACCCACCTTCTTTTGCCACTCCACACTCTAATCAACCCCTCAACACCCCCCTCTCTCACCCACCCACGCACCTTCTGCCACTCCTCACCACATTCAACACCTCGACATCCCTCTGTCACCCACCCACCTTCTGCCACTCCACGGCGTAGCCATTCACTCGGAAGCTCGGCCCCTCTGGCTGCTCTATTTTGATTGGCTTCAAGTCGCTGCGGTCCACGCCCCCCCTGTCCGCCCCGGGCGTGTAGTTGCGCAGCGGGTCGGGCGGGGGTAGGGGGATGAGCTCCCTGTCGTCGCACCTGATCACTTCCATGGTCTGACAAGAAACCGCAGCAGCAGCAGGGAGAGGGAAAGGGAGGGGGATGATAAGGGGAGGATGGAAGGCTAGGCCGGGCCAGCGGGATGAGCTCCCTGTCGTCTCACCTGATCACTGCCATGGTCTGGTTGGGGTTGGGATGGGGTGAAAGTACAGAGGGGAGGGGGAAACGAGAGAAGGCTAAGAAGTGGAAAGGTGGGGGCAGAGGGATGAGCTTCCTGTCCTCGCACCCATGCTCGGGGGGGGGGAGAGAGGGACGAGCTCCCTGTCCCCGCACCTGATCACTTCCATGCTCTGTAACGGTAGCAGGGAATTGGGACGGCGTGAAACAAAGGGAATGGGAAAGGAGTGCGGCTGGGCGAAGAACAGGCGGGGGCAGCGGGATTACCTCCCTATCCCCGCTCTTGATCACTCCCATGCTCTGTAACGGCAGCGGGAAAAGAAAGGAGCGAGGGAAGGGATAACATATTTGACATATCCTAACACCCACTGGGTAATCCGGGGATTGGAGTTTTGAGGCGCCTCAAAATTCGAGTAGGGTCAGGTCAGGGGAATGAGCTCCCTCGCCTCACACCTCACCACTGCGATACTCCGAAGGCAGAGGAGAAAATGTGAGTGCGGTAGGGATTGGGACGGTCTGAGAGGAGGGGGTATGCATGCCACTTTTGAGTCGACTCAAAAGTCACCTCCTTAATCCGGGGATTCGAGTAGGGTCAGGTCAGGGGAGTGATCTCCCTCCCCTCACACCTCACCACTGCCAGAAGGCAGAGGAGAAGATATGAGTGCGGTGGGGGTTGGGACGGTCTGAGAGGAGGGGGTATGCATGCCACTTTTGAGTCGACTCAAAAGTCACCTCCTTAATCCGGGGATTCGAGAAGGGTCAGGTCAGGAGGGTGAGTTCCCTCTCCTCACACCTCACCACTGCCATGCTCTGAAGGCAGAGGAGAAGATGTGAGTGCGGTGGGGGTTGGGACGGTCTGAGAGGAGGGGGTATGGATGTGAATTTTGAGTCAACTCAAAAGTCACCTCCTTAATCCGGGGATTCGAGTAGGGTCAGGTCAGGGGGGTGAGTTCCCTCTCCTCGCACCTCACCACTGCCATGCTCTGAAGGCAGAGGAGAAGATGTGAGTGCGGTGGGGGTTGGGACGGTCTGAGAGGAGGGAGTATGCATGTGTGCTGCTAACAAGACACTGCTTATAGAGGGTACATCAGCCCTGCTCACCTGCACGTCTACTAGTATGTCAATGCCCTCCACTGGCCTGGCGCATGCATTCTCCAAGGAGCAGTTAGTTGGGTGCCAGCGTGAGTGCTGCTAAAGAGCGGGTACCTCACCCGCACGTCCACTAGTATGTCAATGCCCTCAGCGGGCCTCGCGCATGCATTCTCCAAGGAGCAGTCAGAGGGGCACAAGGGCGTGTGTTGTTAACAAGGCAGTGCTAATAAAGGGTACATATGCTCTGCTCACCTGCACATCAACAAGTATGTCAATGCCCTCCACAGGCCTGGCATATGTAATGTCCAAGGAGCAGTCAGAGGGGCACAAGGGCGTGTGTTGCTAATGAGACACTGCTTACAGAGGGTACATCAGCCCTGCTCACCTGCACATCAACAAGAATGTCAATGCCCTCCACAGGCCTGGCATATGCATTCTCCAAGGAGCAGTTGGAGGGGCAGCGGCAGAAAATGGTTGTTTTGGCGAGGCGGCGAGAGGGGTGGTCTTCTTCAGAGTAATAACCCACACACCTAGAGATAAGGGGAGGAAAGGTTAGGACGGAGGTATGGAAGGGGATGAAGGAGGAGAGGAGCGAGATCAGTATTTGGGAGGATATGGAGGGATATATAAGAGCAAGATGCAAGCGAGATTTGCAGGGGACATTATTCGGGGGACAGAGCGACAGGAATGACAGCTTAGCTGAAGCAAAAAACGTTCTAGTGGGTGATGAAACTATCGATTAGTAATTAGAATTGATAACCCGTTCATTCATGGATGCATGCACTATCCCAGAACATATCACAAGCTTGGTCGTGCCGCCATGGCAGCACGCTGACTCAGCACGAGCTCTCGCTGACTCACCACACGTCAACCAAGACTAGATCCATGTCATCCACCCCTCGCCGCCTCATCGCCTCTTGAAAGGGCGGGTGTGCCTTCACTGCTGCCTCGCACTCTAGGTATTCCTGATTGTCCTGAGGAAAGGGAGGATGAGAGGATGAGGGGATGAAAGGATGAGAGGAACGAAGAAGAGTTAACCGTGTGGGGTGTGCCTTCACTGCTGCCACGCACTCTAGGTATTCCTGATTGTCCTGAGAATAGGGAGGATGAGAGGAAGGACACAGGGCGAGGAAAGAGGTGAGAGGGAGAGGAAGTGACATATTGTTACAAGAGCATGTTACGGTTACGGCCGGAGGATTGTACACAATGCTGTACGACACGGGCGACTGAATGGCTTGGGCTGAACGACATGGGTGACTGAATGGCTTGGGCTGAACGAGATGGGTGACTGAACGGCTTGGGCTGAACGACATGGGTGACTGAATGACTTGGGCTGAACGACATGGGTGACTGAATGGCTTGGGCTGAACGACATGGGTGACTGAATGACTTGGGCTGAACGACATGGGTGACTGAATGGCTTGGGCTGAACGACATGGGTGACTGAATGGCTTGGGCTGAACGACATGGGTGACTGAATGGCTTGGGCTGAACGACATGGGTGACTGAATGGCTTGGGCTGAACGACATGGGTGACTGAATGACTTGGGCTGAACGACATGGGTGACTGAATGACTTGGGCTGAACGACATGGGTGACTGAATGACTTGGGCTGAACGACATGGGTGACTGAATGGCTTGGGCTGAACGACATGGGTGACTGAATGGCTTGGGCTGAACGACATGGGTGACTGAATGACTTGGGCTGAACGACATGGGTGACTGAATGGCTCGGGCTGAACGACATGGGTGACTGGATGGCTTGGGCTGAACGACATGGGTGACTGAATGACTTGGGCTGAACGACATGGGTGACTGAATGACTTGGGCTGAACGACATGGGTGACTGAATGACTTGGGCTGAACGACATGGGTGACTGAATGGCTTGGGCTGAACGACATGGGTGACTGAATGGCTTGGGCTGAACGACATGGGTGACTGAATGACTTGGGCTGAACGACATGGGTGACTGAATGGCTTGGGCTGAACGACATGGGTGACTGAATGGCTTGGGCTGAACGACATGGGTGACTGAATGGCTTGGGCTGAACGACATGGGTGACTGAATGGCTTGGGCTGAACGACATGGGTGACTGAATGACTTGGGCTGAACGACATGGGTGACTGAATGGCTTGGGCTGAACGACATGGGCTATACGATATGGTTACTGAATGGCTTGGGCTGAACGACATGGGCGACTGAATGACATGGCCTGAATTACATGGGCGGCAGAACGATATGGGCGGCAGAACGATATGGGTGGGTGAACGACATGGGTGGGTGAACGACATGGGTGGGTGAACGACATGGGTGGGTGAACGACATGGGTGGGTGAACGACATGGGTGGGTGAACGACATGGGTGGGTGAACGACATGGGTGGGTGAACGATATGGGTGGGTGAACGACAATTGTGTAGCGAAGGCAGAAGGACTCACTAAGGCCGGCTGAACGTCCTCCATGACGTGGCATGATTTGATTCGTCCCACGTCATGCCCCCTGCTCAGACTCTCATCCACATCTGCCAGTTGTACCACCCACACCGCCGTCTGATTGATCAGCTTGTTCCACGTCACCAGCCTCGCCTCGCGAGGGGGAAGGCGGAGGAGCGGGGCGGAGGCGGCGAAGGAGGGGGGAGCGGAAGAAGGGGGGGAGGGTGAGGAGAATGGGGTAGCGGGGGAAGCAGAGGGGTATGGGATGGTGGTGGGAGAGGGTGAAGGGATGGGGGAGGAGGAGGAGGAAGGTTTGTTGTGAGGGGGAGGGTGAGCGTTGGAGGGTGGAATGTAGACCGAGTGCTGGTAAGGCGGGAAGAAGTAGGCGTCTGCCAGGGCGACCACGTCCTTGGGTGGCTCGTTAAGAGCCACCTCGATAAAACGGATCGCGTCCTGGAGCTGAGAAACAGAACATAAGAGATAATGGACGAAAGGCGGGAAATGAAGGGAAGTTCAGGACTGCAGAAGAAACGCATGATTAGTGCCATTAGTACGATCAACATGATTTCACCCCAAGTCGTTGGACATTCTTTTGAGTCGACTCAAAAGTCATTTCGAAAGATGGGAAATGAAGGGAAGTGTTGGACGACAAAAGAAACGCATGATTAGTGTCATTAGTAAGATCAGCATTCTTTCACTCCAAGTCGACGGACATTCTCAAAACGCGATCTGACAGCAGACGAGTTGAGAGAGGTTATGATGTGATGTTACGGGATAGATCACTGACCCTGGGAGAAGATACAGCCTTGCGGACAGTTCGAGTCGGAATGACTGGAAGAACGATCCGTAAGTGAATATGTGAGCAACATGTTAACCGATTATGATGTGATGTCACGGGATCGATGACTGACCTCGGGAGAAGATACAACCTTGCGGACTCGACAAATATCTCCGCGGGACTCAGCGGGACCAGCGGATGATATCTCCATGCGCGTAAAAATGTGAGAACGTGTCACGGTATACATGACTGACCTCGGGAGAAGATATCGCCGCACGGACCGTCGTGACGGCGACAGAGATCTCCTCAGGACTCAGCGGGTCCAACGGATGCACAAACGGAGTCCGTCCGATCGAAACGACCTCAAGATGTGAATTGACGGTAGCTGCTCGAGCAATAAAAAGGTGTTACAACGAGCGATTTCCGTCCAGCATTGTACGAGTCAAGACGATGACGAGACTAAAGCCGACGAAATTCAGTGAACGGATGGCGAAGCCGGCATTACCGATCCAATTCAGGAAAAAAGACTGTAGGTCCAGCTAAAACGGGAGCATAACGAGATAAATTAGAGGGAAGCTAGAATCTTACCCATTGATAATATCGCAGACTGAGAGACGAATGAAGCTACATTATATCCGACATAGTATCCGCAACCTGAATTATTCTGAGATAAATTGACGCGATTAAGAGAAACGTCGCACGAGTAAACGGGGCGATGGACGTATTCGATGTTATTGGAAAAACTGGCCTGCAGCAACCTTTGCCATTCTGCAGCTCAAAGGTAGCAGCCATGGCGTCGTTCCTAGGAAAAAGGGAAGAGAGGTGCGGGAGGAACGGGATGGCTTTTGGGTTCCACCAAGGGAGCTGCTTTCTGACCAGCAAATCTCGAAGCACTGACCTCAAGACAAGACTCGGATGTCAGTCAACATCGCCATTTCGTGATTCCCAAGATATCTCTCGCGAATCATAGACGTGCAGGAAGGACATCTCACTCGCGCCTCGACGTTCTCGCGAAGCGATTTCGCGCGATTGTCGCTACCCTCGTTGGCAGAACAGAAACTCAAAAACCAGTTTGCGAGCCAATGCGGCGCACGAACGCAGTACTCGATTTAAAGGTCGTAGTAAAAATTTGAAGGTACCATACATACCCATCGTCTTACTATAACGATTAAAAATATACGTCAGACTTTTTAGATTGCATGTGGGTTTAGTCACTTGGTTAGACCTATTACGGGTCAGATCACTAAGGCAAAAATTCGTCCCTAAGTTATTTACTATGAATCTATGTTGATGATAAATGGTTTTTTATGTATTTTATTCTTAGGGAAGGGTTTCACTCCAGTTTGGTTGTTATAATCTATTATTCCACTCATGTTAGATGATTTCTGTCCTAAAACGTCGAGCTTCGGTATGTTCTGATGGATGTCGGTTCGGCTTCTAAGCAGGAAATATGCTCGGTCGGCTTGCTGTAAGCTGATTGGACAAAATCACCGCGGAATAACTGGTTTGGAATCAGCTCTGGTGCACATGGCGGCTGTGGCTCAACACAACTTGGCGGGAAAATCAAGGGCAGGGTGAACACGCAAGCAAGGGGGTGTTTTGGGGTTTGGCTCGGCGGCAAGCCGACATTCTCGAGGTTCTGTTTGTGGCCCAGCGGCAGAGGTTCGGAAAAGAATATGCGTTGACATTTTCTTGTCAATGAAAGCTTGATGGGAAAGCAAGAAAGGGAGAATTCGAGGTGATTGAATTGACGGGTTCTGTGGTGCAGAGCGTTTTGAAACCCTGAATTCACGTTTCCGTGCGGTCCTAGGATGTTAGGAAACTGAATTCATCCCATCCCCTTTCACCCAATTCCCTCCCTCATAGAACCGAGTTTTTCGGAAACTTGCTCGCCGGTCACTTCGGTTATTACCGTTTGCTGCCGTATGCCGATAGTTGCTTCCCAGCAGCTTGTTCAGCTTCGTACGCTTCGTACTCACGTCCGCGCGTTCAGCTGCGAGGGTATCAAGACGTTTGGTGACGATCTTTTCGGGCCTGTCACGCTAGGTCGCGCCGCGTGTTACATTCCATTGCGATTTCTTTCAGAATAGGCGTCTACTCACTCCAGAGCCAGATGTCTTGCTTCGTCTTCGGTACCAAGAAGACTTAATTGGTGTCCTAACTCGACTCTAGCACCTATTGCGCCTATTCTCCGGTTTAGCTAGATTCTCAAACTCGTTCCAAGACGAGAGCAATATTGAAATGGGTAAGTTCGATGTAATGTGGCCTTATGCTCCAATTAGTTGGTCTAGTGGTCCAATTCCGGTCCTTTTTTAACTGCCTATCACTCACGCTAACATTGGAAATACGTCGCCAATACACCCAGCTCCCACCCAGCTCCTATCTTGCTTGTCTCGTTCCTTCCTCTGGTCCTAACCGTGTCAATCTCTACTGGATACAAACCGTCTGACGAAGTGGTTTTCCGTTACTCGCAGCGTCCGTTAAGGCGCGTTCCAAGGTCGTTTCCATCGGACGGACTCCGTTAGTGCATCCGTTGGACCCGCTGAGTCCCGCCGAGATCTCTGTCGCCCTTGCGACGGTCCGCGCCGCTGGAGCTACTCCCGAGGCAAGTCATCTATCCAGTGACACAATTCACCGGATACATTGTCACATTTCTACTCACATGTCTACTCTCAGATCGCGTTTTCGTTAGTTCTATCGAGTTTTCAAGAATGCCCGTCCTCTTAGGTGAAGTAGAATGATTTGACATGAAAACCACTTCCTGCGTTACTTCTACTTACCTCCAGGATGTTTTCTATTTTTCCTCATTCCCCGTCTTTTGGCCATTATCTTCATATGATACATCCGTTTCTTTGTTTCAGCTGCGGGACGCGATCCGCTTTATCGAGGTGGCTCTTAACGAGCCACCCAAGGACGTGGTCGCCCTGGCAGACGCCTACTTCTTCCCGCCTTACCAGCACTCGGTCTACATTCCACCCTCCAACGCTCACCCTCCCACTCAAAACAAGCCTTCCTCCTCCTCTCTTCCCCCCTCCTCCACCTCCCCCATCCCTTCCGCCTCACCTTCCTCCGCCGCCTCCCCCTCTCCAAAAGCGGCTGTTCTCCGCCTTCCCCCTCGGGAGGCGAGGCTGGTGACCTGGAACAAGCTGACCAATCAGACAGCGGTATGGGTGGTACAGCTGGCGGAGGTGCATGCGAGTCTCAGAGGGGGACACCACCGTGGACGAATCAAATCGTGCCACGTCATGGAGGACGTTCAGCCCGCCATGGTGAGTCCAGAGAAAGTCAGCAATGGCGTCGAGCCGCCCATTTCGTTCAACCGTCCATGTCGCTGTGTACACTTGTGTTTCAGTTATAGCTAAGTGATTTTTGCGCTATTCTGTCGAGCGTGCTTGAGCTGAATCTTGCACCTCCTCACCCTCTCTCTCTTCTTCGCTTTCGTCCCCTCAGGACGCAGTGGAGTATGCAGAGTGCGAGGCAGCAGTGAAGGCACACCCGCCCTTTCAAGAGGCGATGAGGCGACGAGGTGTCGATGACATGGACCTAGTCATGGTGGATGCGTGGTGAGTCAGCGAGGGCTCATGCTGAGTCAGCAAGGGAACTTGTTGAGTCAGCATTATGCAACAGTGGCACGAGCAAGCTTGTGCGAAGTCCTGGAATATGCATTCGTGCATGCAAGCGTTATTGGGGACTTTTCCTTATGGCATCTTGTTCCATTCTCTCGAATTCTTAACACCACACTAAACCATTCAGCGCTCAGCCATTCCTCTCACTCCTTCCCCTCCTAATCCTTCCCCTTACCTTCAGGTGTGTGGGATATTACTCTGAAGCGGATCACCCCAATCGTCGCCTTGCCAAGCCGCTCATCTTCTGCCGAAGCCCCTCTGACTGCTCCTTGGACAATGGATACGCCAGGCCCGTGGAGGGCATATACGTGACGTTGGACCTGCAGGTGAGCAAATATACCATATAGAGCGTGAAGCTGTAGGCTACCCGTCCCAACCCGTTCTGCCATTCAGGCATGGCAGTGGTGAGCCCGTTCTGCCATTCAGAGCATGGCAGTGGTGAGCCCGTTCTGCCATTCAGAGCATGGCAGTGGTGAGCCCGTTCTGCCATTCAGAGCATGGCAGTGGTGAGCCCGTTCTGCCATTCAGAGCATGGCAGTGGTGAGCCCGTTCTGCCATTCAGAGCATGGCAGTGGTGAGCCCGTTCTGCCATTCAGAGCATGGCAGTGGTGAGCCCGTTCTGCCATTCAGAGCATGGCAGTGGTGAGCCCGTTCTGCCATTCAGAGCATGGCAGTGGTGAGCCCGTTCTGCCATTCAGAGCATGGCAGTGGTGAGCCCGTTCTGCCATTCAGAGCATGGCAGTGGTGAGCCCGTTCTGCCATTCAGAGCATGGCAGTGGTGAGCCCGTTCTGCCATTCAGAGCATGCCAGTGGTGAGGGACCGTTCATCACCCCCCTCAATTTTCCATCTCCTCCCTTTGATCTGCTCCTGTCCCTGCTTCTGCTACTGCTGCTGCTGCTCCATCCTCCCCTGCTGCCGACAGAGCATGGAAGTGATCAAGTGCGAGGCCAGGGAGCCATCCCCCTGCTTCCTCCCGACCCTTGATCGACCTCCCTCCCCTCCCATCACCTCCATCCGCACCATCCCAACCCCCCCACTGCCCCCGCTCGACCCCCTGCGCAACTACACGCCAATAGATGTCAGAGTATATGTTCTTCTCCACTCCTCTCCTGCTTCCCCTGCTACCAACCAGACCATGGAAGTGATCAGGTGCGACGACAGGGAGCTCATCCCACTGCCCCCGCCCGACCCTTCAAAGACTTGATAGCTCGTTCCCCTCTCCTCACCCCCTTGTTTCCTTCTGCTGGTCAGAGCATGGAGGTAATCAAGTGCGAGGACAGGGAGCTCATCCCACTGCCCCCACCCGACCCGCTGCGCATCTACACACCAATAGGTGTCAGAGTATATGTTCTTCTCTCCTCCTCTCCTGCTTCCCCTGCTACCAACCAGACCATGGAAGTGATCAGGTGCGACGACAGGGAGCTCATCCCACTGCCACCGCCCGACCCGCTGCGCAACTACACGCCCGGGGCGGACAGGGGGGGCGTGGATCGCAGCGACTTGAAGCCAATCAAAATAGAGCAGCCAGAGGGGCCGAGCTTCCGAGTGAATGGATACGCTGTGGAGTGGCAGAAGGTGGGTGACCGATGGGGAAGTTGAGGGGGAGTGGCAGAAGGTATGTGGAAACGAGAGAAGTGGGAAGGGTAGTCCAGTGGTTAGGGGGCGTGTGGACGAAGCCCATCCCCATCGAGCAGCCCGAGGGGCCGAGCTTCCGAGTAAATGGATACGCCGTGGAGTGGCAGAAGGTGGGTGGAATGAGGGATGTCAAGGGGTTGAATATGGTCTGGAGTGGCAGGAGGTGCGTTGGAGTGAATAGAGTGACAATAAAGAGTCCAAAGGGGGTTATTAGAGACGACAAGAATGGGACAGGGGGGATGTGGACCGCTGTGCCTTGAAGCCAATAAGATTGAGCAGCCGAGCTTCCGATGTCCGGCTATGCTTTGGAGTGGCAGAAGGTGTGCGGGTGGAAGGGGGGCAGGAGGGAGGAGGGAGGCGGAATGCAGGGTGGATTGGGTGGTTGGGGAAGTGGAGCGGAGAGATGGGGAAAAGGAGACTCATAGCGGTGGGCCTTAACCCCTAAACCCAAAACCTTAAGCCTTTCCATCGTATTCCTCCCTACTCCTGCCCATTCTCCACCCCCCTTTTCTTCCAGTGGAGCTTCCGAGTGGGGTTCACGCCTAAAGAAGGCCTGGTGCTGCACTCACTGGCGTACGACGACGGCAGCAGCGGCAGGAGGGGCGTTGCGCACCGGCTGAGCTTCTGCGAGATGGTGGTGCCGTATGGCGACCCCCACGAGCCCCACTACCGCAAAAACGCCTTCGACGCCGGCGAGGACGGGCTGGGGAAGAACGCGCACTCGCTCAAGAAGGTGAGTGCCTTTGGTGGTGGTGGGGCTGCTGCTGCTTGTGGGGCTGCTGCTGCTTGTGGGGTTGCTAGAGGGGTTGCTGGTGGGGCTGCCGCTACTGCTGGTGCGGAGTCAATAGCGAGGCCGCTCCCCTCCACCATCTGCTGTTCTCCCCGACTGTTTCCCCTTCCCCCAGGGCTGTGACTGTCTGGGCGTCATCCGCTACTTTGATGCGCACATGAGCAACTTCACCCACCCCCTGTCTCCTTGGCCCATCCCCCTATCCCCAACAGGGCTGTGATTGTCTAGGGTACATCCGCTACTTTGACGCGCACATGAGCAACTTCCTGGGCGGGGTGGAGACGATAGAGAATGCCGTGTGCATGCATGAGGAGGACTTTGGCATCCTCTGGAAGCACGTCGACTGGCGCTCGGGGCACACAGAAGTGCGAAGATCTAGGCGGCTGGTGCTCTCTTTTGTGTGCACAGTGGCCAACTATGAATACGGCTTCTTCTGGTACCTCTACCAGGTGAGGGCAATCCCACCAGCCCTGTCAGCTACGTCTTGTGTGGGTCAGTAAGTGGGAACGCCTGGTCTCTCGTTTGTGTGCACGGTGGCCAACTATGAGTACAGCTTCCTCTGGTACCTCTACCTGGCATCCTATCGGTGGGAGCACTGAGGGAGGGCGAGGTACGGCACGCTGCTGGCGCCGGGGCAGTATGCTCCCATCCACCCCCTTCACCTCCCACTTCGACTTCCCCAACTTTTCCACTCCCTTTGCTCCCCCCCTCTTCCCATTCCCCCTGCCCCCCGTTGTTTCCCTGGCTCCTGCCTTGCACGCGCAGGACGGCAAGATAGAGGCACAGGTGAAGCTGACAGGCGTCCTATCAGTGGGAGCGCTGAGGGAGGGCGAGGAGAGGAGGTACGGCACGCTGCTGGCGCCGGGGCTGTATGCTCCCATCCACCAGCACTTCTTTGTGGCTCGCATGGACATGGCTGTTGACTGCCGCCCGGGGGAGCAGGCTAACCAGGTGAGTGGAGGAGAGGGATACACAGTAAGATGTGCCGCAGTCAACGCACCTGGGCTCAGCTGTACGCTCCCATCCACCAGCACTTGTTCGTGGCTCGCTCGCATGGACATGGCTGTTGACACGCCCGGGGGAGCAGGCTAACCAGGTAGGGATGACTCCGGCACATGGCAGGCAGAAAGCGCATCCACATGCCCACACCCCACATCCACATGCCCACACCCCTCATCCACATGCCCTCCCCTTCTCTCTACCCACACCCCACAATCCACATGCAAATGCGTCCCACTCTCCAAATCCCTCTGCCGACCCCCCTCTCTCCTCCCTCTCTCCGTATCAGGTGGTGGAGCTGAACGTGAGGATGGAAGGGGAGGGCCCTCACAACCCGCACGCGAATGCCTTCTATGCGGAGGAGAGGGTGTTGAGGACAGAAGGGGAAGGGATGCGAGACGTGGATCCCATGTCTGCTCGGCACTGGCTGGTGAGTGCGTGGAGGGGAGGAAATGAGGGAGGTAGGGACTGCCCCCACAACCTCCACGCGAATGCCTTCTATGCGGAGGAGAGGGTGCTGCGGACAGAGGGCGAGGGCATGCGAGACGTGGATCCCGTGTCTGCCCGGCACTGGCTGGTGAGTGCGTGGGCGGTGGGAGGGAGGAAGCCTTAAGGGTGTTGAGGACAGAGGGGGACGTGGATGCCATGTCTGCAAGGCACTGGCTGGTGAGTGCGTGGGGGGTGCTTTTGGACAGAAGGGGACGGGAGGGTGCGAGAGAGGGTGCTTTCGGACAGAAGGGGACGGGATGCGAGATGTGGATCCCATGTCTGCTCTCGGCACTGGCTGGTGAGTGGGTGACTGAGTAATCGGGGACGCACAGAGAGAGAGGGCACTGGGACTGCCTTGTATGCAGAGGAGAGGGTGCTTCGGACAGAGGGCGAGGGCATGCGGAATGTGAATCCCATGTCTGATCGTCACTGGATGGTGAGTGGGGAGGGATTAAATGGGGGAATGAGTGATGGCGCGAGGAGTTTCTTGCTTCCTTTTGTAAATTGATGATAGTAGAGTTTTCAAACCTTTTAAAAATCCATTGAGTACCATTCAACCACGTACACCCATCTGTCAATGTGCCCATTTCTCGTTTCAACCTTTGTGGGGCAGATCCAAAACACTCGGGCAGTCAACCGGGCAGGTCGTCCCACCGCCTACAAGCTCGTGCCAGGATCCAACTGTCTGCCCTTTTCGCAGCCCGAGGCGAAATTTCTCCGCCGGGCAGCTTTCCTGAAGCACAACCTGTGGGTCACGCCGTACCACCCGGAGGAACGGTTTCCGGGCGGCGAGTTCCCGAACCAGAACCCCAGGGTCGGCGACGGGCTGTCCTCGTGGGTGCAGCAGAACAGATCAATTGACAATGCTGACGTGGTGCTCTGGTAAGTGGTGCTCTAGTAAGTGGTGCTTTGCCAAGTGATGCTGTGGTAAGTGGTATTATGGTAAATGGTGCTCTGGTAAGTGGTGCTTTGCCAAGTGATGCTGTTGTAAGTGGTATTTTGGTAAATGGTGCTCTGGTAAGTGGTGCTTTGCCAAGTGATGCTGTGGTAAGTGGTATTTTGGTAAATGGTGCTCTGGTAAGTCTTCTTTAATGGTTCATCGTTCATTGTTTACAAAGCAGTTGTCAGTTTTCACTGTTTTCTTCTTTACGATGATCCCTCATCTGATTCGGTTGCATTCTTAACATTGCATTGCATATTCGTCCCACTTGTTCTGTGCAGGTACGTGTTTGGCCTCACTCACGTTCCACGGCTGGAGGACTGGCCAGTAATGCCCTGTGAATACCTCGGCTTCTGCCTCATGGTGAGTTGCTGGCTGGCCTTTGAAGGGTGTCAGAGGTTTAGGCTTTTGCCTCAAGGTGAGTGACAGCTTTGAGGTGCCTGGTATGGGTTTGGCCTCACTCGCGTTCCACGGCTGGAGGATTGGCCCGTCATGCCTGTTAATACCTCGGCTTCTGCCTCATGGTGAGTTGGTGCTCTTTTCATGGTGATTTGATGGTTAACTTCTAAGGCATTTGAAGAGGATCTACATGCCATGCCATGTAAATGTATGGGCTTGTACAGGATTGGCTCATGGTTGCATTTACAGTATATTGCACCGGTGATCGTGCTTCGTGTGTGTGTGTGTGTGTGTGTGTGTGTGTGTGTGTGTGTGTGTGTGTGTGTGTGTGTGTGTGTGTGTGTGTGTGTGTGTTTTTCCATTGCAACTTGTACAAGCTCGATGGGTTTGATCCACCAATGACGTGCCTGGATGTTTTTAGTTCTGTCAATGTGTACTTGCGGTGCAGAACTCCTTGGGTTAACAAAGCCCCGCTTACCCCCTTCCCTCCCTCCTGCCTTTTGTCATATATGCAGCCACATGGTTTCTTCAACATATCTCCTGCTGTTGATGTTCCGCCTAGCGAACCTGAAAATGCTGCTGAAGCAGGCGCTTCTGTTTCTACACCTAGCACTAGCAAAGAGGGGAGTGACTGCTGTGGTGGGACGGCTCAGCCGAGCCTCTCGTCAAAACTTTAAGAAATATCGGTGTCATTCTCTGTATATGGGTTTCTTATTATTGAGTATTATTAAAGCGATGAAGCTATTCACCTCCGAAACCACAACTTCTAGACGTGCCCTAGAAGCTGTAAACTGTGCTTTCACGTGGTTACATCGGAGATTTGAGCCTGTCTTTTTTTGGCCGACTTTCAGAAAGACATTTGGCGGGAATTCCAACATGCCACTCCGTTTGGTATCCTCCGGGGAAGTGGTAGAATATGCCACTTGCACTTGCATTGTTCCCCTAGCAATGCTCTCAATTTCTCATTCGGCTCGCTAGAACATGGTTTCTAATGGTACGCTATTCCCCACTCTACTCCGCGTGCGATCGTAACGCTACGGTTTTTCCGAAATAGTCCCCTTCGCTCGCTTATGCGCCGCGATAAGGAAAGGGAATGATCAGTTGATGGACACGAATAAGGGAAGGCCAATTGCTGACTAATTTGGAGGGGAAGGCAGTCTAGTCGCACAGAGAGGGAGGATAAAGGGCGAGGCGAGGCGACATGGTTCCCAGGCAGATACCGCGCAGTGGGAAGAGAACCGGAACCGAGCAGGGTGACCCTTGAGTTGAGTCAAAAGGCGGGAGGCAGAGAGGCTGACAGCGGGGGAGGCGAGGCGACAGCGGGGGAGGCGAGGCGGCATGGTTCGCAGGCAGATACCGCGTGGTGGGAACGAGGAGGGTGACCTTTGAGTCGACTCAAAAGGCGGCAGGTAGCGAGGCTGACAGCGAGGTGAGGCGAGGCGAGGCGGTATGGTTCGCAGGCAGATGCCGCGTAGTGGGAACGAGGAGGGTAGTACCAGTAACGGCCTGCGACCCGCGGGTGACACTAATGGGGCCGCGCGTGACACAAAGGGGGTTGAGAAGAGAGACGAGCGCGGCGGGAGTGTGGGGAGTGTGCGTAACGTGGAGGAGAAAGAGGTGGTGAAGGAGGGACGAGAAAATACTCGCGAGGTGCCTCGCATAACGACTAGTATGGTTAGAGCGAGGGACCAGGAGGACGCGAAAGGGGGAGAGTATACCTGTGAGGCGGAGGGGCGCTGTGAGGAGAGCTTTGAGGCGCCTCACAGAGAGAGTTTCAAGCCCGAGGGGATGACCGCGGCAGAGGACCCCAGATGCGATTCCGAGAGCAGGACCGCAGCAGAGGACTCCAGAGAAGGCCCTTGGACGGGAGAATCTATTCCTCAAACACACCTGCAAGGCCAGGAGTATCGGCCTGGAGCCCATGGGCTGGAGGGACTCTCGATTTGGGAGCAGTATGAGAGGGAGTTTGGCGGTTACCTGCAAGGCTACAGGTTCTCCCATCCTACTGCCGCTGCTGCTGCTGGTGGTGGTGCTGCTGGTGCTGCTGGTGCTGCTGGTGCTACAGCCACCGCTACAGCCGGCGGGTTGAGTGTGGAGGAATTCAGGGCTCTGGAATGCCCTCAGCTGAAAGGTGGGCGTGGAAACGAAAGGTGAGCTTGCCCTCAGCTGCTGCTACAGCCCGTGGTGCTACAGCCGCTGCTACAGCCGGTGGTGCTACAGCCGGTGGTGCGACAGCCGGTGCTACAGCCGCAGGGTTGAGTGTGGAGGAATTCATGGCGCTGGAATGCCCCCAGCTGAAAGGTGGGCATGGAATGACTTGCTGCTCTGATTGAGGACAAAAATCACTTTCAGCCTCACAAGCCATTCTTTTCCCATTTGGGTGGAGATACCCATTTGGGTGGAGATACGAACAAGAATCATGTTATTCTTGCCCCTTCCGCTGTGCAATTTTTGAGGCGCCTCAAAAATCGTGGAGATACGAACAGGAATCATGTTATTCTTGCCCCTTCCGCTGTGCGCCTCCCTCCCTCTTCTCTTCCGTCCGCCAATCCCCAGTCATCCCCCCCATCCCGCCCCCTTCCTCTCCACCACCATCATGCCTCAGGCTGCGTTTATCTCGACCATGCAGCAGCAGCAGTATACACTCGCTCGCAGGTCGCAGCAACCACCAGAGCCCTCACTCACTTTCTCCTCTCTTTCATCCAACCCACACCACCACATCTCAGGCTGTGTCTACCTCGACCATGCAGCAGCAGCAGTATACACACGCTCGCAGGTCGCAGCAGCTACACGAGCCCTCACTCGCTCCCTCTTCTCCAACCCTCGTGAGCCCTCTCCCGCTGCAGTCTCCCACAAGCCCTTGCATTGCATTGCATTGCTCTCTCGCTTCCCTCCGTCTTGCTCTCCCCTCCATTGCAAGCTGCGCTCTTTCATTCTCCGTTTCTCTCCCTCCCCAATAACCACTCTCATCCCTCGCTCCTTCCTCCTTTGCCCTCACCCGCTCGCTCCTTTCCAACCCTCGTGAGTCCTCTCCTGCTGCAGCCTCCCATAAGCCCTTTCATTGCATTGCTCTCCCATTTCCCTCCATATTGCACTGCGCGTCGCACGATTCAATTGGCTGTTTCTTCTGCTCTTTGCTTTTCTCCCTAGTCTGCACATTATTTTTGAAATTTCTTAAAAACGTTTTGTTGTGGCTGTTTCTCTTGCTCTTTGTTCTTCGCCCTAGTCTACACGCTACTGCTCATTCCCCTCCACTCCGTTCCCTCTGTTCCTTCTATCCTCGTTACAGACAGCTCCAGTAGCAGCAGTGCAGCCACATCAGACGCGATTGAATCACTCCGCATGCAGGTAGGCAAGGCAGACTTCTGACTGGTCAAACCAAGTCTCGAACCGATGTTGGAGTTGACTAGAAGAAATGCCATGCCATGCAGGTTGACGTATGTGCCCATGCATATCCATTCCATAAGCCTCTTTCATCTCCATTCATCACCCCTCCCCTTCAGGTGCTCGCGATGTGCAACGCGCCTCCCTCCCAGTACGCATGCGTCTTCACCAGTGGCGCCACGTCAGCACTCAAAACGGTCGGCGAGGCATTCAGATGGGCGGGCGGCAGCGAGCTGGCGATGACGGTGGACAATCACAACTCGGTTCTAGGCATCAGAGAGTAAGGGAGTTTTGCTTAGTGGAGCATGTAGTGAGTAATGAAGAGGGAACCTAGCTGGGTCAGTCAGTGTGGTGTTCAGATGGGCGGGCGGCAGCGAGCTGGCGATGACGGTGGACAATCACAACTCGGTTCTAGGCATCAGAGAGTAAGGCTTGGGAATAAGTAGGGAGGGTGATTGGAGTTTAGAGGCACCTCAAATGTTGGTCATTTGAGTTGAGACGGATGAATGACGAAGTGAAGGTGTCCAGATGAGCGGGCGGCAGCGAGCTGGCGATGACGGTGGGCAAACACAACTCGGTGCTGGGGATCAGAGAGTCAGGGAGTTTTTCTTGGTTTCACTGGGGATGAGAGAGTAAGAAAGGGAGAGGGCAAGTGGGTCTGGGAGAGGGAGACGAATGAAGAGGAAGGGGTATTTTGATCAGTTGCGCGGCAGACAGCGAGCTGGCGATGATGCTGGACAATCATAACTCTGTTTTAGGGATCAGAGAGTAAGACTTGTAGGGGATAGGAGGGGGAAGTGTTGTGGGGTCAAAGGGCGAATGGAGAGGTGTTCAGATGGGCGGCTGGCAGTGAGCTGGCTGGCGATGACATTTTGAGGCGCCTCAAAATGCATCTCACTACTGGCGATGATGGTGGACAATCACAACTCGGTTCTGGGGATCCGAGAGTAAGACATTAGTTCAGATTCAGTTACCTTACTTATTCTCCATGTCTTCTTGATTGTTTGTTTTATTTTCTCTTGCGCGTTGTCATAAGATTACTTATGATGATGACGTGTTTTCCGTGTTGCTGTGTACAGGTATGCGCTTAGAGCTGGTGCTACAGTGTCCGTTGTTGATATTCGCTATGAGGATGACTATATGGGGGATGAGGATGACGAAGAGGAGGAAGAGGAGGAAGAAGGGGGTGATGAGGATGAGGATGAGAGTGAGAGTGAGAGTGAGAGTGGGAGTGGGAGTGAGAGTGAGAGTGGGAGTGGGAGTGGGAGTGGGAGTGGGAGTGGGAGTGGGAGTGGGAGTGGGAGTGGGAGTGGGAGTGGGAGTGGGAGTGGGAGTGGGAGTGGAAATGAGAGTGGGAGTGAGAATGGGAGTGCGAATGGAAATGACAAACAGGAGAGGAGAGTGGAGAAGGGGGGGGGAGTGGATGAAGTGAGGGTAAAGGAGGAGGCAGTTAAGGAAGAAAAGGGAGGAGAGGATGAAGAACAGGAGGAGGAAGAAGAAGAAGCAGAGGAGGGGGAAGAAGAAGAAGCAGAGGAGGTGGTGGAAGAAACAGAGGAAGAGGAGGAGGACGATGAAGAGGAGGAAGATGAGGAGGAGGAAGAGGATGAAGAGGATAGGAGGGCGGGCGTGAGGTTGGGTGGTGGGAGGAAGGTCCGATTGGCACTGCGTGGGAGAAGGAGCAAACGTAAAGCAGAGGAGGAAGAGGAGGAAGAAGAAGAGGAGGAGGAGGATGAAGATGAGGAGGAGGAGGAGGAGGAGGAGGAGGAGGAGGAGGAGGAGGAGGAGGAGGAGGAGGAGGAGGAGGAGGAGGAGGAGGAGGAGGAGGAGGAGGAGGAGGAGGAGTTGGAGGAGGAGGAGGAGGACGAGGAGGAGGAGGAGGAGGAGGAGGAGGAGGAGATTCAGAAGCAGAAGATGAAGATGAAGAGGAGGGGAAAGTAGGAGTGAGGGTAGGTGGAAGGAAGAAGGTTCGAGTGGTCTTGCCTGGGAGCAGCAGGAGTAAGCGCAAGGGAGCATCAGAGGAGGAAGAGGAAGAAGAGGAGGAAGAGGAAGAGGATGAGGAAGAGGAAGAGGATGAGGACGAGGAAGAGGAAGAGGAAGAAGAGGAGGAGGGAAAGGTGGGTAAGGTGGGAGTGCGGGTGAGCAGTAGGAGGCAGGTTCGACTGGCTTTGTCTGGCAGCAGTAAGAGCAAGCACAAGGGAGCAGCAACGGAAGAGAAAGAGGACGAGGAAGAGGAAGAAGATGAAGAAGAGGAAGAGGAGGAAGAAGAAGAGGACGAGGGAGAGGAGGAAGAAGAGGAGGGAAAGGTGGGAGTGCGGGTGGGTAGCAGGAGGAAGGTTCGATTGGCTTTACCTGGCAGAAGCAAGAGCAAACGCAAAGGAGCAGGGAAGGTAAATGAAGAGGATGAGGATGAGGATGAGGATGAGGATGAGGATGAGGAAAAGGACGAAGGAGGGGATGGGGAAGAAGAGGACGAGGAAGTGGATGGAACCAACCCCTCCCGTTCCACTGTTCCTGCCAAACCAGTGCTGAATGAACCGCAACATTGCAGGGTTGGTTCCGAGCCTGGCCAGGAGGCTCGGCTAGGTGTGGCTGCTCCAGGTGTGGCTGAGGATGGTGGGGTCGGAGCTGGTGGGAGTGGGACGGGTGAGACTGGGGCGGGTGAGACTGGGGCGGGTGAGACTGGGGCTGGTGAGACTGGGGCGGGTGAGACTGGGGCGGGTGAGACTGGGGCGGGTGAGACTGGGGCGGGTGAGACTGGGGCAGGCGGGGCTGGGGCAGGCGCAGGAGGAAGATGTGAGGAGAAGGGCCGTGAGGGAAAAAGGGGTGGAAAGGCAGGCTTAGGTTCAAGGGATATGAGAACAGAGAATGAGGAGCCTTCTGAGATGACTCAAACGTCAAGGGATAATGGGGCAAGTGGCATGAGAAAGCATAGAATGGCGGATGGGAAGGGTAAAAGGGTAGATGGAAGGGTGGATGGTGGGTCAAAGGGCAAGGTCCTTCGAGGGGTGGTGGCGGGGTTGTCTCTTCACCTGCTGAACCGATTCTCACGGGAATCAAGGGAAGGGAAGGCAAGGCAACAGAAGGCACCAAGAGCAGCAGGGGCACGAAGGGAGGAGGCTGTTTTTGAGCCCCCTCAGAAGGTGGTTCCAGAGGCATTGCGTCCACAAGCTGTGTTTGTGCCGTGCCTGTTTGCAATGCCGGCAGAGAGCAATTTCAGCGGAGAGAAGCTCGATTTGAGGCTGGTGAGGGCGGTGAAGGAGGAGAGGTGTTTGGATGGGTGGGAGGGGTGGAGCCGGGAGGACAGAGAGGTGGAGAACGGTGGTGGTAGAAGAAGAGGCAGGGAGAGAGGGAAAAGGAGAACTGGGAAAGAAATTGAGAAGGAAAGAGAGGGGGTAAGAGAGAAGGAAGGGGATGGCACAACAACCATTGGTGCCTCTCAAACTCAACAGCAGCAGCAGCAGCAGCAGCAGCAGCAGCAGCAGCAGCAGCAGCAGCAGCAGCAGCAGCAGCAGCAGCAGCAGCAGCAGCAGCAGCAGCAGCAGCAGCAGCAGCAGCAGCAGCAGCAGCAGCAGCAGCAGCAGCAGCAGCAGCAGCAGCAGCAGCAGCAGCAGCAGCAGCAGCAGCAGCAGCAGCAGCAGCAGCAGCAGCAGCAGCAGCAGCAGCAGCAGCAGCAGCAGCAGCAGCAGCAGCAGCAGCAGCAGCAGCAGCAGCAGCAGCAGCAGCAGCAGCAGCAGCAGCAGCAGCAGCAGCAGCAGCAGCAGTTGCCTGCAAGCAACAGAGCGTGGGGCGGCCTCTGGGGTTGGCTGGGAGGAAGTCGTGAGGCTTCCAGTGTAGATGAGGACCAAGGGCAGGCTGACAGCAGTGGCACGGCGACTGGTGGTGCTGATAGGGGTGGTGGTGGTGGGGAGGCCCGGGGTACAGATGCTATAGCCACGGAGAGCAGTGGCAGGGTGACTAGGGGCCACGAAGCTGAACGGGAGGTTGGTGGTGATGATGAGAGTAGTAGGGATCTTTCCCCACCGCTTCCCCGGCGCTGGTTCGTCCTTCTCGATGCTGCCAAAGCTGCTGCCTCGGACCCTCCGGACCTCTCGCATTGCCCTGCTGATTTCGTCGCAATCTCCTTTTACAAGGTGGGTTGACCCCTCCCGCCTTTTCTGTTTCTCACCATGAATCCTCCTCCTGGTTCCCTCTTTTCCGGACATTCTGTCCTCACAAAGTGCATATCCCTCGCTCGTTGCATCTCTTCCCTCTCCTTGACATCTTGACTTTCTCGATTCTTTGCTGAGTTTGTTCCTCTCTTCATCAACTCTCAAGTCACTAGAGGGTTTTCTCAACTCCTCACTTGAATTCTAAACCGTCTCGTACCTTCACCCGTTTGTCCCGCTATAAGCAGATTTTTGGATTCCCTACAGGCCTCGGAGCCCTTATCATCCGGCGAGGTATGTATATGTCCCTCTCTCTTCCCGAATGATTTTCTCTTCTCATATGCTTCTTTCTTCTTGCGTGCTTCTTTCGTCTCATGTGCTTCTTTGTTCCAAGCCTTTCTGCTATCATCCAGCATCCTTTTGCCTCGTCTCATCCCTTTTCTCCCTCCCCACCTTCCACATGTCTACTCTTGATGGCAACTTGTGCCTGTGCCTCGCTTTCAGATTCCGCTTGCATCCTCCGCAAGCCCTACTTCAGTGGAGGTACGCGTAGCCTGCGCTTGCTGGCATGTGAATGGCACGGTGATATGGGGACAGTAGCAGCTAGTAGCATGGTGAGGTGACTCTGCCCCGCAACTCGTGCCCCTCTCTCTGATGCTGTTTCCATTCTCTGCCAGCCCTATTTCAGTGGAGGTATGCGAGTGTCATGTGCTTGCTGGCATGTGAATGGCACGGTGACAGTGGTAGCAGTAGCAGCTAGTAGCATGGTGACTCTGTATAGCAACTCGTGCCCCTCTCATTCGGATGCTGCTTTCACCCTCCGCAAGCCCTATTTCAGTGGAGGTACGTGTTGCATGCGTGTTGGCATGGGCCGCATGCATGTGATAGTGGCAGGAATGGTAGCAAGAATGTGATGACTGGGATGGTGCAATCGCATCGTTACATGTGGTAACATGAGATGTTGGCAACCTTGGTAACAAAGGTCCAACAACTCAACCCTTCATAGAACCCTGCACTTTTTCAACACCTCTCCACTTCCCCCTCACAGGCACCGTGGCAGCAGTGTTTGCAGACTCCGACTTTGTCTCTCTGCGCCCATCCATAGAAGCACACTGGGAGGACGGCACCCTCCCTTTCCTCCATCTCTCCTCCTCCATCTCTCCTCTCTCGACCGCTTTCTCGTCTCCCCTCTCCTCCCTCATCTCACCTCACAGGCACAGTGGCAGCAGTGTTTGCAGACTCCGAATCTGTCTCTCTGCGCCCATCACTAGAAGCTCAGTGGGAGCACAGCACGCTCCCCTTCCTCCACCCCTGTCCTTTAATACGTTCATTCACCCTTCCCTCCTGTCCTCTCTCCTCCCTCATCTCCCCTCACAGGCACCGTGGCAGCAGTGTTTGCAGACTCCAAATTTGTCTCTCTGCTTCCATCGCTCGAAGCACAGTGGGAGGACGGCACCCTCCCCTTCCTCCATCTTGCCCCTCCCATTCACTGTCGTTTCTCCCTTCTCCCTTCTCCCTTCTCCCTGCTCTCTCTCCTTCCCCCCTCACAGGCACCGTGGCAGCAGTGCTTGCAGACTCTGACTTTGTCTCTCTGCGCCCATCTTTAGAAGCACAGTGGGAGGACGGCACCCTCCCCTTCCTCCAGTTGGCAGCTGAGCTCCCTCCGGGCCTCGCCTTGGTCTCGCGCCTAACCTTCTCTGCCATCCAACGGTGAGTTGAGTTTGTATCAACCAGATGATGCCTTAGAAGCACAGTGGGAGGACTGCACCCTCCCCTTCCTCCAGTTGGCAGCTGAGCTCCCCCCGGGCCTCGCCCTGGTCTCCCGCCTCTCATTCTCTGCCATTCAACGGTGAGCATCGCGCCCCTCTTCTCCTGGTGTTTGTTGCGAATCTGTATTTTCGAGTCAGAGTGGGTGGGAGCACGGCACTCTCCTCTCTCTCCCCTTCCTCCAGCTCACAGCAGAGCTCTCTCCAGGCTTTGACTTTTGAGTCGACTCAAAAGTCAACAGGCTTTGCCTTGGTCACCCACCTCTCCTCTGCCATTCAGCGGTGCGTTCCTGGCACCCAGTTTATGACCTCTTGGTCTAAATTTGTTGGCGCTCTCTCGGCCCACGCCAAATAAGAGCTTAGATTCATTCGTGTAAAAGCACTAAATTTTCCTTGGAGCCGTGGACAAACAAGACGTCGACTTGGTCAGCTTATGGGCGTCGGCACGCGGGGGGGTTTGGACAGGTGACGGACAGCTGGGGTCATTGACTCATCGCCACCCCATGGACAGCCACGTCTCCTCTCTCGCTCTCTTCACCGCCTCTTGCCTCCTCTCCGTCCGCCACTCCAACAGTCGGCGCGGCTGCACCGTGTATTGAAGGCACAGGGCCGCTGCTACTGCTGAGGCCTGAGGCGCCTCACAGCACAGTGCCTGGGAGGGACAGATTGCTGCTGCTGCTGCTGCTGCTGCTGCTGCTGCTGCTGCTGCTGAGGCTTGGGGCGCTTTAGAACACAGTGTATCGCCGTCAAGGGTGCTGCTGATGAGGCCTGAGGCGACTCACAGCCCAGTGCCTGGGACGGATAGAGCGCTGCTGAGCTGACTTTTGAGTCGACTCAAAAGTCAACTCAGTACCTGGGAGGGACAGAGCGCTGCTGGTGCTGAGTCGTGAGGAGTCTCAACACTTGCTTTCCCCTCCATTTCTGTTGTCTCCCCAACCCCTACAGCCACGTCTCCTCTCTCGCCCTCTTCACCGCCTCTCGCCTCCTCTCCCTTCGCCACTGCAACGGGCAACGCGTCTGCATCGTGTACGGAAGGCACCAGGCCTTGTTGCTGAGGCTTGAGGAGAGCGGATTGATGGATCTCCAGAGACGAGCAGAGGAAGGAGAGCCAGCATGGAAGCAGCAGGGGGGAGGTGGGGAGAAGCAGCAGGGGGAGGTGGGGAGAAGCAGCAGGGGGGAGGTGGGGAGAAGCAGCAAAGGGCAGTGTTGAAGCAGGAAGAGGGGAATCGGCAGAGACGAGCGGAGGGACGAGAGGCAGTGTGGAAGCAGCAGGGGGGAGTGGTGGCGTTTAACCTGAAGCGCAGCGATGGGTCGTGGGTGGGGCACAAGGAGGTGGAGAAGCTAGCAGCTATTCACAGCATTCATCTCAGAGTGAGTGTTTGATCACCCAGTGATGGTGAGTGGGCGTTTAATCTGAAGCGCAGTGATGGGTGGTGGGTGGGGCACAAGGAGGTGGAGAAGCTAGCTGCTATTCACAGCATTCATCTCCGGGTAAGTGCTTGTTTTCACTGGCATGACACCTCACAGGTTCAATCTGAAGCGAAGTGATGGGTCGCGGGTGGGGCACAACACTTGCCGACTGGTGCCGTGCGTTTTGAGTCGACTCAAATGTCACCTCATACCTACAAGGCAGGGCATGTATGTTGGGACGACAACGACGTGATTGCCGGGCGGCCCACTGGCGCCTTGATTTCTCCAATCAGTCCTTTTGAGTCGACTCAAATGTCACCTCATACCTGTGAGGCGGGGCACGTGTGTTGGGACGACAACGACGTGATTGCCGGGCGGCCCACTGGCGCCTTGATTTCTCCAATCAGTCCTTTTGAGTCGACTCAAATGTCACCTCATACCTGTGAGGCGGGGCACGTGTGTTGGGACGACAACGACGTGATTGCCGGGCGGCCCACTGGCGCCTTGATTTCTCCAATCAGTCCTTTTGAGTCGACTCAAATGTCACCTCATACCTGTGAGGCGGGGCACGTGTGTTGGGACGACAACGACGTGATTGCCGGGCGGCCCACTGGCGCCTTGATTTCTCCAATCAGTCCTTTTGAGTCGACTCAAATGTCACCTCATACCTGTGAGGCGGGGCACGTGTGTTGGGACGACAACGACGTGATTGCCGGGCGGCCCACTGGCGCCTTGATTTCTCCAATCAGTCCTTTTGAGTCGACTCAAATGTCACCTCATACCTGTGAGGCGGGGCACGTGTGTTGGGACGACAACGACGTGATTGCCGGGCGGCCCACTGGCGCCTTGATTTCTCCAATCAGTCCTTTTGAGTCGACTCAAATGTCACCTCATACCTGTGAGGCGGGGCACGTGTGTTGGGACGACAACGACGTGATTGCCGGGCGGCCCACTGGCGCCTTGATTTCTCCAATCAGTCCTTTTGAGTCGACTCAAATGTCACCTCATACCTGTGAGGCGGGGCACGTGTGTTGGGACGACAACGACGTGATTGCCGGGCGGCCCACTGGCGCCTTGATTTCTCCAATCAGTCCTTTTGAGTCGACTCAAATGTCACCTCATACCTGTGAGGCGGGGCACGTGTGTTGGGACGACAACGACGTGATTGCCGGGCGGCCCACTGGCGCCTTGATTTCTCCAATCAGTCCTTTTGAGTCGACTCAAATGTCACCTCATACCTGTGAGGCGGGGCACGTGTGTTGGGACGACAACGACGTGATTGCCGGGCGGCCCACTGGCGCCTTGATTTCTCCAATCAGTCCTTTTGAGTCGACTCAAATGTCACCTCATACCTGTGAGGCGGGGCACGTGTGTTGGGACGACAACGACGTGATTGCCGGGCGGCCCACTGGCGCCTTGATTTCTCCAATCAGTCCTTTTGAGTCGACTCAAATGTCACCTCATACCTGTGAGGCGGGGCACGTGTGTTGGGACGACAACGACGTGATTGCCGGGCGGCCCACTGGCGCCTTGATTTCTCCAATCAGTCCTTTTGAGTCGACTCAAATGTCACCTCATACCTGTGAGGCGGGGCACGTGTGTTGGGACGACAACGACGTGATTGCCGGGCGGCCCACTGGCGCCTTGATTTCTCCAATCAGTCCTTTTGAGTCGACTCAAATGTCACCTCATACCTGTGAGGCGGGGCACGTGTGTTGGGACGACCACAACGACGTGATTGCCGGGCGGCCCACTGGCGCCTTGATTTCTCCAATCAGTCCTTTTGAGTCGACTCAAATGTCACCTCATACCTGTGAGGCGGGGCACGTGTGTTGGGACGACAACGACGTGATTGCCGGGCGGCCCACTGGCGCCTTGATTTCTCCAATCAGTCCTTTTGAGTCGACTCAAATGTCACCTCATACCTGTGAGGCGGGTCACGTGTGTTGGGACGACGACAACGACGTGACTATGTTGCACTATACGCTTGGGAAATTTTACGTTTCACGTATATGCGTTCACGTATAAACGTGAAAACGTGAAACGGGGACAAATACGCGATACGTAAATCCGGGCAGGCGAAAAAAAAAAAGAGAAAAAAATCTGTTGCCGCTGATTCCGCGATCTGCAATTCTGTGAAACCTAATTTTGAGATTCGAAACTCGAATGCCCCCCTCCCCTCCCCCCCACCGCACATCACCTCACACCACCTCCCAAACCCAACCTTCCCTTACAAGCTGCTCGCCAGTCGGCGTGAGTACAACAGCGAAGCTCACGCCAAGTTTACTGCTATTGCTAGCAGCGGCGTCGCGTCACTTGCAGATTTTAGCAACCGCAATATTAGGACGATTCTAGCCAACAATTTCGTACTGGCAAAAACCCCACGGGAGTTATCCGCATCAAGTATTGCTGAAGTTCTTTCCCTATAAGCATTCTACCTCAACTGAAATGTTTTTTCCCTGCCCTAGAAAATTTCAACCTGCCCGACGCACCGTATTTCGAGGTTTTTTGTACGCTGGAAATTTGCGTATCGCGTATGTACGATACCGTATAGTTCGTACGCGTTCCGTACGCCATACGCGTATTTTGCAACATAGCGACGTGATTGCCGGGCGGCCCACTGGCGCCTTGATTTCTCCAATCAGTCCTTTTGAGTCGACTCAAATGTCACCTCATACCTGTGAGGCGGGGCACGTGTGTTGGGACGACAACGACGTGATTGCCGGGCGGCCCACTAGCGCCTTGATTTCTCCAATCAGTCCTTTTGAGTCGACTCAAATGTCACCTCATACCTGTGAGGCGGGGCACGTGTGTTGGGACGACCACAACGACGTGATTGCCGGGCGGCCCACTGGCGCCTTGATTTCTCCAATCAGTCCTTTTGAGTCGACTCAAATGTCACCTCATACCTGTGAGGCGGGGCACGTGTGTTGGGACGACAACGACGTGATTGCCGGGCGGCCCACTGGCGCCTTGATTTCTCCAATCAGTCCTTTTGAGTCGACTCAAATGTCACCTCATACCTGTGAGGCGGGGCACGTGTGTTGGGACGACAACGACGTGATTGCCGGGCGGCCCACTGGCGCCTTGATTTCTCCAATCAGTCCTTTTGAGTCGACTCAAATGTCACCTCATACCTGTGAGGCGGGGCACGTGTGTTGGGACGACCACAACGACGTGATTGCCGGGCGGCCCACTGGCGCCTTGATTTCTCCAATCAGTCCTTTTGAGTCGACTCAAATGTCACCTCATACCTGTGAGGCGGGGCACGTGTGTTGGGACGACCACAACGACGTGATTGCCGGGCGGCCCACTGGCGCCTTGATTTCTCCAATCAGTCCTTTTGAGTCGACTCAAATGTCACCTCATACCTGTGAGGCGGGGCACGTGTGTTGGGACGACAACGACGTGATTGCCGGGCGGCCCACTGGCGCCTTGATTTCTCCAATCAGTCCTTTTGAGTCGACTCAGATGTCACCTCATACCTGTGAGGCGGGGCACGTGTGTTGGGACGACAACGACGTGATTGCCGGGCGGCCCACTGGCGCCGTGCCGTTCGTTGTGTTCTGAGTCGACTCAAAACACAGCCGACTGGCGCCGTGCGAATCTCCAACTTATTGGCTTTTTCCACTCCCCTCTCCCTCTCCCCTATCCACCAGACTGGTTGTTTCTGCAACCCGGGCACCTGCGCCAACCATCTGCGCCAACCACCTGCGCCAACCACCTGCGCCAACCACCTGCGCCAACCACCTGCGCCTCTCCCACTCCCACCTCCGCCAAAACTACGAGACGGGGCATGTGTGCTGGGACGACAACGATGTGATAGCTCATTCCAACTCACCCTCCCACTCCGAATTTGATCCTCCCTTTCCCCTGTGCAACAGACTGGCTGTTTCTGCAACCCGGGCGCCTGCTCCAAACACTTGCATCTGTCTCATGCCCACCTCCGCCAAAACTACGAGGCGGGGCATGTCTGCTGGGACGACAATGACGTGATTGGCGGGCGGCCGACTGGCGCCGTGCGAATCTCCTTTGGACACCTGTCAACCATTGATGACGTGGAGGTGGGTCGCTGAGTGTATGTCTGTTCATCCAGTTTCCTGATTCCATTTACCAGAAGGAGACTGGTAATACCTTCCATCTATTCATCATTTGCCTCATCGGAATCTAAGTGGGCTCATTCTGAGGCGCCTCAAAAGTGGAATATAAGTGGGCTCATGGACAATCGTTGTGGGCTCATGGCGCCTCAATCGTTATTCTTCCCCCCCTTGCCCGCATCAAACGCATGTTCCTCTGCTGCTCATTGCAAACCCCAAACCCGGCTCTCTGTGCCATCCCAAACCCCTCACACCTGTTGTCCAATTGCTGCAGGCCTTCCTCACCTTCATCCAAACGTGCTTTGTGGAGCTGCCACGTCAGCACTCTCCACCTCAGCTAAGCCCACGTCAGCACGCCACCTCTGCTGCCTCTGCTGCTGCTGCCACTACTGCTACTCCTGCCACTACCGCTGCCACCTCTGCCGTTTCCGCTTCTGCATCTTCTGCTACAGCCGCTACAGCCGTTGTTGCTACTGTTGCTGCTGCTGCTGGGGGCGAGGAGAAGCTGGATATAAGGCGTTTCACTAATGGAATAGCAAGCCAATCTGAGCATCAGGAGGAGCCTGCGCACGCAAATGTGACTGCACCAAGCGTGACTAAAGAGAATCGTCCGCAAGCAGATGTTCCTGCACGGAGTGTGACTGTAGAGGGGCTGTTTGTGTATCCGATCAAGTCGTGTGCCCCCATGCGAGTTGAAGCATGGCCAATCGGACCCACTGGTAAGTCCTTGATCTTTGTCCTGCATTAGCGCATGTGCCTCCGTCATCAGGTGTTTGCACAAGTAGATATGCGTGCAGCAAGTGTGACTGTAGAGGGGCTGTTTGTGTATCCGATCGAGTCGTGTGCTCCCATGCGAGTTGAAGCATGGCCAATCGGACCCACTGGTAAGTCCTTGATATCTTAGGGTGTAGAGCGGTATTGTGAGGTTAGGGGTAATAGTTTGCTGCATAGTATGCATGCATTGAGTTGTGTGTCGTGTGCTCCCATGCGAGTGGAAGCATGGCTGCTTGGGCTCATTGGTAATCTCGGGATATTATAGGGTCGAGAGCGGTATGGTGGGGTTAGGGGTAGTATTTTTCTGCACAGGAGCAGCAATCTGCTGTACAGCGTGCATTGAGTCGAGTCGTGTGCTCCCATGGGAGTGGAAGCATGGCTGCTTGGGCCTACTGGTAAGTTCTTGATGTTTCAGGGCCATGCCATGCCATGCTGTCCCACCCACCCATGCCATGCCACCCATCCCATCCCGCCCATTCCATCCATCCATGCCATCATCAGGTCTACTGCATGACCGGGAGTGGCTTGTCATCAACCCCTTGAGCCTGGAATGAGGGCCAACAAGCTATACAGTATACATCCGTAACCATGCCATGCTCTCCCACTCATGCCATCCCATGCCATCATCAGGTCTGCTGCATGACTGGGAGTGGCTCATCATCAAACCCCATGGGGACACCATTGAGGGCCACCATGCTATACACCCCTATCCATGCCGTGCTGTCCCTCCCACCTATGCCACCTCCCATGCCATGCTACCCACCCACTCCTCCCATGCCATCAGGTCTGCTGTATGACCGGGAATGGCTCATCGTCAACCCCATGGGCACACCATTGCGAGCCAACAGGGTGAGCACTGAGCATCCAGCGTTGGTAGCAGTACTATCCTCGAATGGTCCTTTCATTAATTGTCCCTCGAACTGGAAGTACAGACAAGGGAAGTGGAGCCTATGTGAGTAAATCCTTTAGGGAACCAACTCTTCCCCTTTCCCTATCTATTCTTCCAGGGTAGCAAAGCAATCCCCTGGGTTTAGCGCCCCCTCCGGCCCCCCTACTGGCGGTTCTCTACCTGTGCCGCCAGGTTCAATTTCTTGAGGTAGCTCAGGGCCTTCTCTCTCTCTCTCTCTCTCTCTCTCTCTCTCTTAAAAGCCTCTACATCCCACCCATCTGCACCTCCCTGAGTGGCTCATCGTGTGCCCCATTCCCTTGGTAACTCCATTGAGGGCCAACAGGGTGAACAGCCAGCACTGGCAACAGTAACTCCCCTCTCCGCCTTGCCAACGCCCCTCCAGACGCACTACACCGCATTTCACCGCACACCCACCTTCCTCGTTCTTTTGCTCTTCACCTTCTCCCCTTCATTCTTTCCTTGTTTTCTCTTCTCTCATTCCGTTCCCCGTTCCCTCCCCCCTCCCTAACAATCAGGTCCCCTCTCTCTTTCACCTCCATCCTCTCGCCTCCTCGCCATCTACCCAAATCCCCCTCCTCGTTTCCTCTCATCAACTACTTCAGCTTCCTTTCCCCTCCCCCCCCCTCCCTACAATCAGGTTCCCTCTCTCTACCGCCTTCGACCCTCTATCAGTCTCACCTCTCGCCTCCTCTCCATCAACCTCAGCGCCTTTCCTCCTTTCCTTTCATCTACTGCTTCTGCATCCTCCCCTTTCCCACCCAGGTGCCTTCCCTCTGCCGCCTCCAACCTTCCATCGACCTCACCTCTCGCCTCCTCTCCATCCACCTGAGTACCCAAGACTCTTTGCCTCTGCTTCCGTTTCAACCCCTCCCATCCCCCTCCCTCCCTACAACCAGGTCCCCTCCCTAATTTGCTTTCCCCCTACCCTCCCTCCCCCAACATTCAGGTCCTACCGCCTCCGACCCTCCATCGACCTCTCCATCCACCTCAACCCCCAGGACTCTCTCAATTTGCTTTCTCCCTTCCCTCCTCCCCTTACAACCAGGCCCCTTCCCTCTACCGCCTCCAACCCTCCATCGACCTCACCTCTCGCCTCCTCTCCATCCACCTCAGTCCCCAGGGCTCTCCGCCTGTCCGGTCTCCCCTCCTATTGCCCATTGACACGTGGCCTGATGCCAGGCTGGACGGGGTGCGCGTGTGTGGTGACAGGTGCGGGGCTGGGTGGGTGGATGGGGGTGTGGGTGTGCATGCATGCATTTGTAACGGATGGAGCATACACGCTAGCACCACACATGCTAGGCTGGACGGGGTGCGCGTGTGTGGTGACAGGTGCGTGGCTGGGGGGGGGGGAGTTGTGGATGGGTGCATATGAGTGTGTATGAGAGTACTCTCCTCCTGTCCGGTCTCCCCTCCAATTGCCCATTGACACGTGGCCTGATGCCAGGCTGGACAGGGTGCGCGTGTGTGGTGACAGGTGCGTGGCTGCGTATGGATGAGTGTATGGGTGTATGGGTGTATGTGGGTGCACACAGGTGTATATGGGTGTATATGGGTGTATCTGGGGTAGATTGGGGTGCACAGGTGTATATTGGGGTCCTAGTGGTTGTCCAAGTGGGGAACATATTTGCGAGGCTGGATGGGTCGTGAGTGTGCTGTGTGGTGAGAGACAGCTGTGCGGCTGGGGTGGGTGGAGTGGTTGTATGTGGGTGGGTTTGGGTGTATATGAGTAGGTGGTGGGTGTCCGTGGTATGCATGTAAGTGTCACTCTCACTCTCACTCTCACTCTCACTCACTCGCTCACTCCATCTCCTCCATTTTGTTGTCTCCTTGTCATCCACGTCAGCGTCCACGTGGCAGTGTAGCTGACGTGGCAGCCTGGCTCTCCGCCGCCCTCGGCACGCCATGTCAGCTCGTGAGGCTCCTGCCGCACGCCCGCCAGCAGAAGAAGCTGCCAAGAAGCATCGTCAGCAATCAGGAACACACCAGAAACGATCAGATCACTGAAAATCGCTACAGCAACGATGAATCGATTTTTGAGTCGACTCAACAATCGAATCGCCACAGCAACGATGAATCTTCCCAATCTTCCCAGCAACAATCTGCATCCCCCTCTTTCTCCCTCAAAGCCAAACCCTCCTCCTCCTTCACCACCTCCTCCTCCTCCTCCTCCACCACCTCCTCATCTCTCTACTCCTCTTCCTCCTCGTCTCCCTCACTCTCTCTAGCCAATGAGGCCCAGTTACTAGTGGTCTCATCTGCTAGTCTGGCTGATCTTCGGAAGAGAGTGGAGCATGGAACAGTGGAAAGGGTGATGGCAGGAGGAGAAGGGAGTAAAACGGAAGGGAGAACAGGAGTGGATGAGGCTTTTCAAACTGAGAAATTCCGAGTGAGTTCAAACAGGAGTGCTTCCTCCTCGTCGCTTGGGCCTCATGCTGCCCCGCTTCCCTGCTGCCCGGCCGATTGGAGCCTGAGGCTCGGTAACTCTGCCAAACCTAATGGTCTGGGCTCAGGCTCGGGAACGGTCCGAGCTGATCCAGCACAAGCAGTAGCAGCAGCTGCCACGTCAGCAGGGTTCTCTCAGGCTGCTGATGTGGACAGAAATGCGGAAGCAGATGCCTCGTGGGCATTGCGGTTTCGGCCCAACATCGTGGTGGGTGGTGCTGACGTGGCGCCGTACGATGAGGACAGGTGGAAGCAGCTGGTTCGTCAAGACGTCTCCTTTGAGGTGAGCAGAGCTTGACGTGATGGCGCTCATGCTAATTTCTTAGTTTTTTTTTTGGTGTCTCAAAAGTTGATGTGAAAATTGCTCATTTTGATCTTTTAGTTCTGTTTGAATCGACTGTCTGGCTGTTCGGCCTTGGCTGTTCACCCTCTGCCCCCTTCTTTCAAACCTTACGAGACACACTACCTTCTCCTTCTTGCTTCACCCGTTTTTCTGCAAACTATCTCACACATACTCACGCTTGTCAACACAAAAAATTATCACACAGACCTTGTCTCCGCCATTGTCCTTTTCAACATCCCCCACCTCCTTTCCCTCCTCACCTCACCAATTCCTCCCTCCAGTCCCTTGCTCCCACAAGTGCCGTCATCAACACAGACCCTTTCACAGCTGTAATCCCCTTTCCCACCCCTTCCGCCCTGTTTCCCTTTTCCTCCAGTCCCTTGCTCCCTGCAGCAGATGCGCCATCATCAACAAAGACCCTGCCACGTCATTCCATCACCAATAATTCATGTTTTCTCCTCCCTTTGAATTCCTCTCCATTCCCCCCTCCTGGTCCCCTTTCAGTCCCTTGCTCCCTGCAGCAGGTGTGCCATCATCAACACAGACCCTGCCACTGGCCAATCATCAGCTCCAGAACCGCTTCGAACCCTATCTGGTTACCGCAGGCAAAAGGCAAACATCAACTTTGGCGTCCTCTTTACAGTCAGGCTACACCAAATGCTCAACACAGAAACTAGTTTGTTGTCGGACTCATTGGTGAGCGGGGCAAATGTACTAGGACGAGCGCCTGGTACTATGACTGAACGAGGACCGTTGGTATCTGTCGGCCAAACTCTTGCAATAATGTATGGATGATATGTTCTCAAAATGAAATATACGTGCTGACAGGATCTCTGACACACAACCGTGAAATCTGATTGGACAAGAACGTACATGAGGCCTAAACGAGCAATACCCTTGTTTCGATAATCATAACGGACATGTGAAACATCGCCATTGACTATAGTGGTCCACCTAATGGAGGGAATGATTTTGCGTCTCAATCCGACCGAATTTACGAACCTTGTCGGGCAAGGAAATCCGACAGTGTGGACTGGTGTTTCATCGCGATTGGGGGATCAGGTTGCTTTCGGGCTTGGGCGATGGGGTTGCTCCCTCCTGCCCGAACTGGAAGCTGGGAGCATTCCAGGGGGCTTGGCTCCACGTCAGCAGAAAATCCGCGCCTGCGAATGGCGTTTCTCGTGGTGGCACGGTTCGGATGCCGTCACCCATTCCCAATTACCACGTCACACATTCGAGCTCTTCTGTGCGGGGAGTGTACACTACGTTTGAGACGGTGTATTTTCAGCAGCTAAGTGCTGGTTCTTGCAATCCTTGCTGACACTTCAGAAACCTGCAATTATTGCATTTGGTGTCGAACTGATGTGTTTTAATATTGTAACGTGACGACAATTCGTCAATGTAAACAGATCTCGCAGCCCAGGTGCTTGATTGTGCGGGGGAGTGCACTGGCCTAGACCCCATCTCTTCAAAACACAGTCCCTACCTCCTAAATTCTCCCCACGCTTCAATACCCCTTTAGGAGACTGTAAGGCCTATCACTGGCACGTTTGTGAACAGCCGTTACCACTTCGGCTTGGAGAAAAAAAAACTCTTCGAAGCCTCTCCCTGTTCACACGTGCCAGTCAGACGCCATGGCTCTCTCCCTGTGCGCGAAGACGAGCCTCGTCTCGGCCGCTGGCCTGCAGCAGCGCAGCGCTGCCCAGGAGAGAAGGCAGACCGGCGCCTCGCTCTCAGCGTCGCTCGCCCACTCAGCCGCTGCTCCGTCGTTCAAGGCTTTCGATGGCATGCGCGCTAACTCCGCCTCCTCCTCCGCCTCGTCCTTCCTTTCCGGCGCTAAGGTTGCTGCGCCTGTCGCCGCGGAGGCTCCGGCTGCTGCTGCTGCTGACAAGGGTTTCACCCTGACCATTGTGGCGGGCAGGAACAGCAAGAAGCTTCAAGGAAGGAAGCTTCGCGTCGCCGGTGAGTAGCGGTGAATTTTAGCCAATGAGCTGTGGATCGTGTCCTGTTGTGCACATTTCCGTGGATGCCGCTTTATACTCCACCAAAAATGAAATCCATATCGAAACTAGACTAAAGATTAGCCTAACCTCTGGTAACCAATTTCCACGGCATTCTCCCATCTACCTTCCACAAAGCGTGTAGTTCCTCTTGATTTGCTAACTAACAACTGGACCGTTGATTTTGATTTTCTCTCCAGTTATTGGAGGCGGCCCGGCGGGTGGGTGCGCGGCGGAGACGCTGGCGGAGAACGGCATCGAGACGTTCCTCATCGAGCGCAAGCTCGACAACGCCAAGCCGTGCGGTGGCGCCATCCCCCTCTGCATGGTCGACGAATTCCAGGTAACAAATTTTTCGCTAACTTCGCAAATTTCGTACGCGGTTCGTATTCTAAACCGATTCGCTTCGTCTTCGCTCCTAGCTGCTCCTGCATCACAGAGCAAGTAACTCTGAATGCGGTCATTTTAAATGCCGACGGCTTAAATGCGTCTGTTCTGCTGCGTCCTTCTGCTGCGTCTGGAGTCCAGTTAGAGCCACATTGCTGAGATGAGGATGTGACTTGCGAATCTCGGTCTAATCCATCCGATCCATCAATCCTTGCTTCGTCCGTGCAGCTTCCCCAGGAGATCATCGACAGGCGCGTGACCAAGACGAAGATGATCTCGTCCTTTTTTTGTCGAGGTGTTGACTCATGAATCTCTTTGCTTCGCCTATCCGTGATTCCCCCTGCGTCCCTGCAGCTGCCCCAGGAGATCATCGACAGGCGCGTGACCAAGATGAAGATGATTTCCCCCTCCAACGTCGAAGTCGACGTGGGTCGCACGCTCGGCAAGGAGGAGTACATCGGCATGGTGCGCCGCGAGGTGCTCGACGCTTTCCTGCGCAACCGCGCGCAGTCGTACGGCGCGACGGTGATCAACGGGCTGTATCTGCGGATGGACGTGCCCAAGGATGACGACAGCCCCTACGTCATCCACTACTCCGACTACGCTGGGGATGCTAAGGTCCGTGCGCTGCCATTGCTACCGTGCGCTAAGTCAGAGTGAGCACTGCACCGTGCGAGAGCCCTGCCTTTCTTGTGAGTGCGACGGTGATCAACGGGCTGTATCTGAGGATGGACGTGCCCAAGGACGACGACAGCCCCTACGTCATCCACTACTCCGACTACGCCGGCGACGCCAAGGTCCGTACGAGCCGAGCCGGTCACAAGGCGCTTCCGGATGTTCCCACGGTTCGATGGTAACCGGTCGTTTAGCTGGCTCGTGCGCGTCGTGCGCATCGTGCCGCGTGGCTTCGCAAGCCGGGAAAGGACTGGTCGGTGGCTTTGCAATGAAAAAACTTGGATTGCCTGCCAGCTCTCGAATCCCGTCCGGCTGTCTGGTCCTCCATCTTCTCTTGCGGATCTGAATGGCAAAAGCAAAGAGAATAATATTGTTGTTTGCTGACGTACCTCATCTGTGATTGATGTCGTGCCTTGTGATTGGTCAATGCAGGTCGGCGTGCCCAAGACTCTGGAGGTTGACGCCGTGATTGGCGCTGACGGCGCCAACAGCAGGGTGGCCAAGGACATTGACGCGGGCGAGTACGACTACGCCATTGCGTTCCAGGTGAGGAGCCATACTTCAATCTTTCGTAATTCTGTGTACTTTTGAGGTGCCTGTTGAGCTGTCCCGAAAGCCACCAGCAGGGTGGTTAAGGACATTGACGCGGGCGAGTACGACTACGCCATCGCCTTCCAGGTGAGGAGCTCACCTTCATGTGGGAAGCACGCTTTGTGGTTGATACCTGAAGTGTTTTGGCGCCCTTGGTCCCCGCAAGCGCCAACAGCAGGGTGGCCAAGGACATTGACGCGGGCGAGTACGAGTACGCCATTGCGTTCCAGGTAACGGCGCATGCTTCGGCCTTCGGAGTGTGAATTTTATGCCCTTTTGAGGTTCCTTCTTAGGTGTCCAAAAGCTGCCAGCAGGGTGGCCAAGGACATTGACGTTGGCGACTACGAGTACGCCATTGCGTTCCAGGTGAGGAACCATCACTGGTTCTACTGGTTCTGCAAATCTCTGGTGTGCGCGTGTGACTCGCTAAACATAGGTTTGTGACATTCGGTAGTGCGTAGTCATCTTTCATGTCTAATTTGCTTGTACTCATACATTCCCTTCACCCCACAGGAGAGCGTCCGCCTGCCCGAGGACAAAATGGCGTACTACGAGGAGATGTGCGTGGGCGACGAAGTGTCGCCTGACGACTCACTCTACCCCCCCACCCTACCCACCTACTCACTCTACCGCACCCCACTCTACCGCACCCCACAGGAGCGCATCCGCCTGCTGGAGTACAAGATGCAGTACTACGAGGACCTTGCGGAGATGTACGTGGGTGATGACGTGCCTGTTATGACTCAACTCAACCTTATCCCTCTTTTCCTTGCTTCTATTGCTTCTTTTCTTTGCAGGAGCGCATCCGTCTGCCCGAGGACAAGATGCAGTACTATGAGGACCTCGCGGAGATGTACGTGGGCGATGACGTGCCTGTTCATACTCCCCTACTCACTCCACCGTATCCCACTCTACCCCACTCTACCGCACTCTACCCTACTCTACCGCACCCCACAGGAGCGCATCCGCCTGCCCGAGGACAAGATGCAGTACTATGAGGACCTCGCGGAGATGTACGTGGGTGATGACGTGCCTGTTCATACTCCCCTACTCACTCCACCGTATCCCACTCTACCCCACTCTACCGCACTCTACCCTACTCTACCGCACCCCACAGGAGCGCATCCGCCTGCCCGAGGACAAGATGCAGTACTATGAGGACCTCGCGGAGATGTACGTGGGTGATGACGTGTCGCCCGACTTCTACGGCTGGGTGTTCCCCAAGTGCGACCACGTGGCTGTGGGCACTGGCACCGTCATCAACAAGCCCGCCATCAAGCAATACCAGACCGCCACCAGGTGCGTTGAGACCTCATAACGCCTGGGCCTCTTTTCCCTCACTCCCTGCTGCCTTTGCTACACGGATCATGCCAAGGACAGATTGAGGGAGGCAAGATCAGTCTTCTGGAGGGTCACCCCTTCCCTGAGCACCCTGGCCCCGCCTGTCAATTGCTGAGGCGTCACACACTCCCATTTATCAGCTCGAATTCGTCTGAACATGCCTCCTCACACTCCCTGCCGCGTTTCTCTGTCCCTCAGCAACCGCGCCAAGGACGAAATCGAGGGAGGCAAGATCATCCGTGTGGAGGATCACCCCATCCCCGAGATCCCCGAGCACCCCCGCCCTTGCTAGTCACTCATTACAGCATCTCACATCTGTGCTTCCTGCTCTGCTTTGCCTGTGGCTCTGCCCCTCAGGAACCGCGCCAAGGACAGAATTGAGGGAGGCAAGATCATCCGTGTGGAGGCTCACCCCATCCCCGAGCACCCCCGCCCTTGCTAGTCACTCATTACAGCATTACACATCCTGTGCTGTGCGTCCTACCCTGCTTTGCCTGTGGCCCTCTCCCTCAGGAACCGCGCCAAGGACAAGATCGAGGGAGGCAAGATCATCCGTGTGGAGGCTCACCCCATTCCCGAGCACCCCCGCCCCCGCCGGACCTCCAACCGCGTGGCTCTCGTTGGCGATGCTGCTGGCTACGTCACCAAGTGCTCAGGCGAGGTGAGTGGATGCTGGCTAGTGGTGTGGTGGGGCTGTAATTTAACAGAGTCAAGTGTCGTCCCTGCCTCACCTCCAACCGCGTGTCTCTGGTCGGCGACGCTGCTGGCTACGTCACCAAGTGCTCAGGCGAGGTGAGTTTGGTGTCTCTTTCTTTCCCGTTCCAGTTCCACACTCCCCTTCCTGTCTTCGCAACCGCATCAACCCCCGCCCCTGCCAGACCTCCAACCGCACCACACTCCACCTCCAGTTACACCACCACACTCCACCTCCATAAGCCCCCCTTGGGTGTGCCCATCTCCCCCTCTACCAATCATACCATGCCTGACACATGCCACCACTCTTCACCCCTGCTTACCCCTTGTGTCTATCCAGGTTATCTACTATGCAGCCAAGTCGGGGCGCATGGCAGCAGAGGCGATCGCAGAGGGGTCTGAGAAGGACAAGGCCAAGGCCCCTAAGCTGCACCCATCCTACTTTCTGTTAACCGTACCCTACCTTGTGCCGACCCATTGCACCGCTCTCCACCCCCCAGGGCATCTACTTCGCTGCCAAGTCGGGGCGCATGGCAGCAGAGGCGATCGCAGAGGGGTCTGAGAAGGGCACACGCATGATCGATGAGTCTGACCTGCGTGTGTACCTGGACAAGTGGGACAAGAAGTACTGGGCAACCTACAAGGTGAGAAAGGTTACAGTATTCATTCATACATGATCCATTGTACGAACACCCATACCGAGGTCATGCTGCTGGGGTTCAAAATTCGTTAGTGCCAACATTCAAACATATCTGCGCACCCCCCGGTGTTTTCTATCATGCCATTCAAATCTGTGCTTCCATATTCTTTCTTCCCTTGCTTGTTTCAGGTGCTGGACATTCTCCAGAAGGTGTTTTACCGCTCCAACCCCGCGCGCGAGGCGTTTGTGGAGATGTGTGCGGACGATTACGTGCAGAAGATGACGTTCGATAGCTACCTCTACAAGACAGTCGTGCCCGGCAACCCCCTTGATGACCTCAAGCTGGCCGTCAACACCATCGGCAGCCTCATTCGTGCTAATGCTCTGCGCAAGGTTGCCCTTGAGAAGGCTTAAATGTCACTGCAGGATATTATAGATGTGTATACTGGCTACGTTCCATTGTTGCTTTTACATTAACTGTTGAAAATCACAATATCCAAGAAAGGGAGCCTACGGAAGTAGGGGTCGTGTATTCTAGTTCATGAGCCACACAATGGACAATGACATCGAGAATCAGGGAACAACCATAGGAAGAAGTGAGCAGCGCAAGGTGTACACGTTTTATTTTATACATAAAACTTTCGGGTATGTGTACATCTGCAGTTATTTTATAGCCTACGCTAGAGGGCTCCACAACCGCATTTGAAACTTTCAGCACCATTTGGAACTCCTTCAAAAAGCGATCCTGCGCGGATTGATCGCAGGATCAGCGCTAGAGGCCTAACAGCGCCCCTAGCCTTGTTACGTGTGCACTGGATTCTGCTGCTCCGCGCAGCACTGTTGATAGGATAGGATGCTCCAGAAAATATGCCACTGTGCAGAGATCATAGCCCGCTGACGTGGAGGGAGAGTTACTTACCTCTCCATCTGGCGCAATCTCGCGACCTTTCGCCAGCCCCCCCAGATCTGTTTGCTGGCGTTCCGCCGGGCGATAGCCCAGATCGTACTGCTGACGTTTCGCGGGCGTCAATGACGCCGTAAGCAGCGTCCGCGTGATCCCATTACGGGATCCACTTGCGGAGGCCGCGGACCGTTCTTCCTCACCTCACCAGCCCCCACAGGCCCAGATCGCCAGAGGGGCTTTGCTGCAGTATTTATTACGACGACAGCAGAATGGGCTTTATGATGTGCCGATATTTTGCTCCTGTTTTCCGTAGGGGCTGCGCACAACCCCAAGAATGGGTGTTGCTACGCAGACGACCAGTCTATCTTCCGAGAGCCATCAATCTTACACCTCGTTTCAGACAATACCTGTTACCTCAGACCCAGGGCACTACAGGCGTGCCGCCGTGCCTATACTGCCAGCATCGTCAGTGACGGCGGGTGTTCGCACGGGGGCTCTTCCGAGTGGCACACGGGCCTGTGGGACTGCTTCGGAAACGATTACCCAGCGAACAGCAACGATTGCGACATCTGTACGTTGATACACAAAATTTTGTCGCTCCCTGGATCCGTCCCCTAGGTCTAATTTTTTCCTAATCTGTTTCCTTTCTCGCTCGCTTTCACTCCTTGGTTCGTTGCTTACCTCTTATGATTGTTTACGCCCTTCTCTTCCCATCCCAGGCTGCCTGGGTTTCTGGTGCCCGTGTGTGCTATTCGGCATCAACCGGGAAATGCTAACAGGCAACGAGAGCGAGTGCTGTGGCTGCTGCTGCGCCTACTTTCTCGTGTGTTGTTATGTCCCAATTGTGGACATTGGTGTTAATTGTCAACTTGGGTACGCTCCTGCTGCTGCGGCGTTCTCTCTGCTCGCGTTGTTCACATCGCTTACACGAACAAAGATCAGAAACAGATACGGCATTCAGGTGCGTGTCTTGTGTGGCTTCAGCATGGTTCTACGACTTAATTTTCTTGTACATTTTTAATAACTCTTAGGAGAAACAGCTCAAGGTTCTGGCATCAATCAAACCACCTGTTAATGGCTATAACACTTCTTTTCCATGTTAATGGCTTTTACATTTCTCCCTTGGGCCTGCTTTTCTCTTTACAGAGTGAGGCGAGATTTCTATTCAGGGATCCGCATCCAGTCTGCGAGAGGGTGTGTGATTGCTCCATCCACACCTTCTGCCTGGGGTGTGCTCTTTGCCAGGAGTCTCGGGAGCTTATGCGTAGAACAACTGCTGGAAAGGGAAGGTTTCCCTTGGAGAAGCCTACTGTAGCTCCATTAACACAGACAATGACAAGTCTGTTGTTTTCTTGAGTTTGTGTGTCAGTTCGATTCCTACGTGAGGTGAGTGTAAGGACTTTTCTTTTACAGTACCATACCGGAATTGTCTTGTCTGCATCCTGTGGTACAACTCGGGAACTCGCCCGAGCTAGGGCCTCTGCCGATATCTTGCATCACATTCTACTGGCCAACTTGTACCAACCTCTTTCTCCCAAGGTTCCCGCCTAGGTTGGTTCCTGTAGTCACATATTTATTAGTGATCTGATCTGAGTACCCCGAAATCTCAATATCCAGAGAAGGGGCCTATTATCTACAGCAGTTGTAGGGGGTCCTGCATGTCAAACAATATGTTTAATATATACCCTGCGTGCTGTAGTTACTGTAGTTATTATTATTAAGAGTTGGTGGTGCACCTTCTTTGTTGCTTTGCTATATGTACCTTGTGTGCTATAGTGAAACACCTCTTTCCTTGCCTAAACTCTCTCGACACTTTCTCCTCTTCACCCTAGCATGGCTCCTCACCTCTAGCTACTATCTTAACATGGTATCAGAGCTGGTTCTTTCCCGGAACCTTCTCTTTTTTTTTTTTAAGAATCATGGGCCCGCCCGTACTACAGCGCGAAATGCGCTATTTTTTTTTCTCCCCGTTCGCCCGTCGCGCGCGCCCTGCCCGTCCCCCCGAACGTGCCACGTCGGCTGCCTCGCGGACGCCCCGTCGGCTGCCCCGCGGACGCCCTGCCCGTCGCCCGCTGCCCCCCCGTTTCGTCGCCACGCGGCCCCCGTTTCGTCGCCCCCGTCACCCCGCAATCCGCCAGCGCGGAGGCCAGCGCCGCGGCCAGCCGCCAGCGCCAGCAGCAGCTACCGCCGCCCCCCCCCCCGCCCTCCCTTCCGCGGCTTCCGTCGTGGGGAGGGGGGAGGGAGGGGGAAGGGGTTGTGGGGGGGGGGCGGGTGTGAGGAGCCTGCCACTCCTCCCTCCCTTCCCTCTTCCTCTCTCCCTGCCGCAACTGTTGCTGTAGGGGGGGGGGGGGGAGAGAAGTGCAGAAGGGTGAGGGGGTGGCGGGAGAAGACAGGTGCGGCGGGTGTGAGGAGCCTGCCATCCCTCCCTTCCCTCTTCCTCTCTCCCTGCAGCAACTGTTGCTGTAAAGGGGGGGGGGGAGAGAAGTGCAGAAGGGTGAGGGGGTGGCGGGAGAAGACAGGTGCGGAAGGTGTGAGGTTGACGGGGTTGAGTGACGAGGGGGGTGAGGACTAGGGGGTTCTTAACGGGGGGGGATCGCATTGAGCGTGCGCGCTCATGCCCGCCTAGCCCACCTCCTCTCCTCATCGGGACTTGGGGGTTCTTAACGGGGGGGGATCGCTATGAGCTTTCGCGCTCAAGCCCGCCTAGCCCACCTCCTCTCCCTTCCCTCTCTCACCTCCCCTTTGTAAAAGGAGGTTCGTAAGCGGGTCCGCCGGTCCTGGCCCCCCACCTCCTCTCCTCTCCTCTCCTCTCCTCTCCTCTCCTCTCCTCTCCTCTTCTCTCCTCTCCTCTCACCTTCCTCACTTCTCTGCCTTCTTCCACAGCGCTTGGTTTGTACGTTCAGGGGGTGCTGGCTGCACCAGTTTCTACTGCACGCAGGCTAAGGGGGTGTGTCAAACAATATGTTTAATATATACCCTGCGTGCTGTAGTTACTGTAGTTATTATTATTAAGAGTTGGTGGTGCACCTTCTTTGTTGCTTTGCTATATGTACCTTGTGTGCTATAGTGAAACACCTCTTTCCTTGCCTAAACTCTCTCGACACTTTCTCCTCTTCACCCTAGCATGGCTCCTCACCTCTAGCTACTATCTTAACACTGCATTATAGTTCATGAACCGAGCAATCGACAACTAGATTGAGAATCTGGGCACACCAACATGAAGTTCAGGGTACATATCATACAATGTTCTCCCGCAAGGTTATTGTTACGAACAGTAACGGAACATTCCTGAAGCGCGTCACAAAGGCCTCGCGTCTCAAACGAAGAGATGCAGTGCGGTGGAAATTTTTAATTCGTAGGTGTAATGCGGTGCAGACCGGTACATTGGTTTTATGACGGGATTGAGACATTTGTGTCTAGACAGGAATGTACCCTAATACCGTACTTGATATTACTGTGCACTCCTCACCGCAGCAAGAGAAGCACGCAGTATCGGGAATGAACGCGAAGCGTCAGACGGTTGGAATTGAATCGAAGCGTCGGACGGTTACAACACGTCTGGACCGTCGGAGCATACGGCATCGGGCAGCTGTGTCAAATGATATATATGTGTGATATATATTGGTAGGCTGTAGTGGGGTAGATGTTGTAGGAGATAACACTTTAGGGTTTTGTTATTTGTACCAAACTCTCCATAGTGAACTCAACCTTGCCTGATTCTCTCGACATGGTATCAGAGCAGGTTCCTAGACCTAAGCTTAAGGGCCCACCATGTGCTAAGTTACCTCCCCAACGGCCTACCTGCCTGCCTTGCATACGTATCTGCCTAGCCTGCTGCCCGCGCGCGCCTCGGCTGCGCGCGCACGCCTTTTTTTTTAGCGCGCACAGCTGCTGCCAGCTGCGTCGCGCCCCGTAGGTCGCTGGTGCAGCCCGCCCTGAGCCCGCGCGGCCCGCAGCTGCCCTGCGCACCGTCCGTGCAGCCCGCGCCGAGCCCGCACGGCCCGCACTGAGCCCGCGCAGCCCGCGCGCAGCCCGCGCCGAGCCCGCGCGGCCCGCACTGAGCCTGCGCAGCCCGCGCGCAGCCCGCGCAGCCCGCGCTCAGTCCGCACGCGGCCCGCGCACCGCCCGCGCAGCTCACGTCGCGCCCCGCCAGCCTACACGCGGCCTGTCACAGAACTGCGTGCTTCCTTACCTGCTACAGTTGCCTGTTGCCTGAGCCTGCAGCCTTTGCCTGCTGCCTGAACCTGCAGTCTTTGCCTGCTGCCTGAGCCTGCTGCCTGAGCCTGCTGCCTGAGCCTGCTGCCTGAGCCTGCTGCCTGAGCCTGCTGCCTGAGCCTGCTGCCTGAGCCTGCTGCCTGAGCCTGCTGCCTGAGCCTGCTACTTTTGACTGCGCTGCAACCATGGCGACCCTTACTGTTCTCGCCTTTGAGCCTGACGGCCGCCCCATCGAGTTTGACACCTGGCTTAGTGACCTGCGCCTTTACCTTATGACTGACGTCGCAGACGGAGTGTCACTGCTAGCCTATGTGACCCTGCACCTGTCCCTGTCTCCCTGGCTGACCCCTCTGGGGGCCCAGTGCTTGCACGAGCCACGACTGTGCTCCCGTGCCCGGCGGTCCCGTCTGGTGAGCTGTCAGGTCTCCTCGTTCCCTCGTTCTCTACGAACCTGGTGAGCAACGCCGTCCTCCAGGATCACTGGGTTGACACCTGGACTCCTGGAGGGCAGCGTGTGGCGATCTGCACGTGCTCCAAGACTGGCCGCCACCTGGCCACGTTCACTCGTGAGCCGGGGTCCAGTCTGTACACCCTCACCACTGTTTCACGCTCCGCTCCTTTGTCTCCGCAGCTGTACGCGTCTGCTCAGGTAGCTACCCAGTGTGAGTGCCGCCGCCTGTCGCACGACACGCTCCTGTGGCACCACCGCCTTGGTCACCCCTCCCTGCCTCGCCTTCGTAGCATGCACTCTCGCTCTCTGGTCTCTGGGCTTCCCAGGTCTCTGCCTGCCCTCCCTCCCTCGCCTGCGCCGCCCTGCATTCCCTGCGTCGAGGGGCGGCAGCGCGCCGCTCCTCACTCCTCCTCGTTTCCTCCCACAGAGGCTCCCCTGCAGACGCTTCACCTGGACGTGTGGGGCCCAGCCCGCGTCCAGGGACAGGGCCGTGAGCGGTACTTTCTGCTGGTTGTCGACGACTTCACGCGTTACACCACGGTCTTCCCCTTGCGCAGCAAGGGAGACGTCCCTGCTGTTTTGATCCCCTGGATCCGCGCTGTGCGTCTCCAGCTCCGCGAGCGGTTCGAGCGGGACTTTCCTGTCCTGCGTCTGCACTCTGACAGAGGTGGTGAGTTCTCCTCTGACCTCTTGGCAGCCTTCTGTGCGGAGCACGGCATCACCCAGTCGTTCACGCTTCCGGCCTCTCCGCAGCAGAATGGGGTTGCTGAGCGCCGCATTGGCTTAGTCATGGAGGTCGCTCGTACCTCCATGATCCATGCGGCGGCTCCCCATTTTCTGTGGCCGTTCGCGGTCCGGTACGCCGCGCATCAGCTCAACCTCTGGCCCCGTGTCTCCTTGCCGGAGACCTCGCCCACACTGCTGTGGACGGGGGAGGTTGGCGATGCGTCGCGTTTCCGGGTCTGGGGTGCTCGTGCCTTTGTCCGCGATCTCACCGCGGACAAGCTCTCTGCTCGCGCCATTCCCTGCGTCTTCCTTGGTTTTCCTCCTGACGCGCCTGGCTGGCAGTTTTACGACCCCACCTCGCGCCGTGTCTTTGCGTCTCAGGACGTCACCTTTGACGAGTCTGTTCCCTTCTACCGTCTCTTTCCCTACCGCACTGCCTCTCGCCCCCCCCCGCCGCTCTTTCTCGCTCCAGGTCCTCCCCAGGTAGACCCCCTCCCCGCGCCAGGTCCTGCTCCTTCAGGTGTTTCTCAGGTAGACCCTCCGGTACCTGCGCCTGTTGAGGTCACTGGTGACTCAGGTCCTGCTGGAGGTGGTCCTGCTCGGGGTGCTGTCTCTGGGGGTGCTGAGCCTGGGGGTGCGGAGCCTGAGCGAGAGGCGCCTAGAGGTGCTGAGCCTGGGGGTGCGGAGTCTGGGGGTGCCGTGCCTGCGCGTGAGGAGCCTGGCGGTGCTGAGCTTGGGGGTGTCGAGTCTGAGGGTGCTGTGCCTGCGCGTGAGGAGCCTGGAGGTGCTGAGCTTGCGGGTGCCGAGTCTGCGGGTACTGAGCCTACGCGTGAGGAGCCTGGAGGTGCTGGCGCTGGAGGTTCTGGAGCAGCTGGGGGTGCTGGCGCTGAGGGTTCTGAGTCTGCTGTTGCGCGGTCTCCTTGGAGTAGCCGCCTTCGTCCACGTGTGCCTCTCACCCCACAGC